AGCGATTTGAAGCATGTTTTATATTTTTTTTTGGGGGGGGGGGGTGGCAGAGCTTTGTGACGTCATATTCGAGGGTGGTCTGACTTTTTGTGACGTCGTGTGACGAAGCGGGGGGGGGGGGTCAAAAATCGTCCAAAATCGCGTGACGCCATTTATGGACGGCCCCCTTACCTGCTAAAATAAAATAAAATAGTTTTAGTTCAGTAGTTTGAGCGGGGATACTTGTCGAGTCCAGACCGTCTTGGGCTGCCAGGCGGGCATTCGATGGCAGTCCAGCAACGAGGAGGAGGGTTTGAAGACGATTGTGTAGCTGGGGCTGTGAGCACGCCGAGCTTTACTGCGGCTCCTCCGGGCAGACTCTCACAACGGTGGAGGCAAACTCTTTTACAGAGACATTCAGAGACGTAGTAGCAGGGAGCCTCCAGAGAGAGAGAGAGCGAGACAGAGCGAGAGACTCGGCGAGGCTTTCACGACGCTGTGATCCCCCGATGTTCACGTCGGGGGATGCGTTCCTGAAAGGCGCGACGGCGAATATCGAAACGACGTCAACCAAAGCGATTGGCAGGGTGAGTCGGTGGTGGAGGCGATGGCTGAGAGCCGACGGATAACGAGACAGGACGGACGACGAAGCTGTCAGCGACGTCAAAGTGCGCGGGGTGGAGTCGACGCAAATCGGGTAACGGTGTTCGTGACGTGACGACGTAGTTGAGAAACGACGTTAAAGGGGGGGGGGGGAAGACGTAAATCGGGGTATGAATTGACATTGTTGTTGTTGTTATTGCTTCTATTGTTGTGTTGCCGTTGTGATGTCACCAAGTCGAGGCTGTTTCTGGCTCGTGGGTATGATTCTGCCGCAGCCGACAGTGCCGAGAACCGCTGTCGATGTTGTTGTTGACGCGTGTTGATGCGCGTGTGTGTGTCGTGTGCTTTTTGTACTTTGTATGTTGCGTGTGCTGCGCGTTTGTGTGCCCTGTTGTATGTGTCGTGAGCTGCTAAGTGTGGTGCCTGGTGTTGTGTGTGCTGTGTGTGTGCTGTGTGGTGCGTCTCCTATGATGTGCCGCTTGACATTTGTGCTGCGTTGTGCGTACAGTGAGGGAAAAAAAGTATTTGATCCCCTGCTGATTTTGTACGTTTGCCCACTGACAAAGAAATGATCAGTCTATAATTTTAATGGTAGGTTTATTTGAACAGTGAAAGACAGAATAACAACAACAAAAAATCCAGAGAAACGCATGTCAAAAATGTTATTAATTGATTTGCATTTTAATGAGGGAAATAAGTATTTGATCCCCTCTGCAAAACATGACTTAGTACTTGGTCGCAAAACCCTTGTTGGCAATCACAGAGGTCTGACGTTTCTTGTAGTTGGCCACCAGGTTTGCACACATTTCAGGAGGGATTTTGTCCCACTCCTCTTTGCAGATCTTCTCCAAGTCATTAAGGTTTCGAGGTTGACTTTAGGCAACTCGAACCTTCAGCTCCCTCCACAGATTTTCTATGGGATTAAGGTCTGGAGACTGGCTAGGCCACTCCAGGACCTGAATGTGCTTCTTCTTGAGCAGCTACTTTGTTGCCTTGGCCGTGTGTTTTGGGTCATTGTCATGCTGGAATACCCATCCACGACCCATTTTCAATGCCCTGGCTGAGGGAAGGAGGTTCTCACCCAAGATTTGACGGTACATGGCCCCGTCCATCGTCCCTTTGATGCGGTGAAGTTGTCCTGTCCCCTTAGCAGAAAAACACCCCAAAGCATAATGTTTCCACCTCCATGTTTGACAATGGGGATGGTGTTCTTGGGGGTCATAGGCAGCATTCCTCCTCCAAACACGGCGAATTGAGTTGATGCCAAAGAGCTACATTTTGGTCTCATCTGACCACAACACTTTCACCCAGTTGTCCTCTGAATCATTCAGATGTTCATTGGCAAACTTCAGACGGGCATGTATATGTGATTTCTTGAGCAGGGGGACCTTGCGGGCTCTGCAGGATTTCAGTCCTTCATGGCGTAGTGTGTTACCAATTGTTTTCTTGGTGACTATGGTCCCAGCTGCCTTGAGATGATTGACAAGATCCTCCCGTGTAGTTCTGGACCTGATTCCTCACCGTTCTCATGATCATTGCAACTCCACGAGGTGAGATCTTGCATGGAGCCCCAGGCCGAGGGAGATTGACAGTTATTTTGTGTTTCTTCCATTTGCGAATAATCACACCAACTGTTGTCACCTTCTCACCAAGCTGCTTGGCAATGGTCTTGTAGCCCATTCCAGCCTTGTGTAGGTCTACAATCTTGTCCCTGACATCCTTGGAGAGCTCTTTGGTCTTGGCCATGGTGGAGAGTTTGGAATCTGATTGATTGATTGATTGCTTCTGTGGACAGGTGTCTTTTATACAGGTAACAAGCTGAGATTAGGAGCACTCCCTTTAAAAGTGTGCTCCTAATCTCAGCTCGTTATCTGTATAAAAGACACCTGGGATCCAGAAATCTTTCTGATTGAGAGGGGGTCAAATACTTATTTCCCTCATTAAATGCAAATCAATTTATAAAACATTTTTAACAAGCGTTTTTCTGGATTTTGTTGTTGTTATTCTGTCTCTCACTGTTCAAATAAACCTACCATTAAAATTATAGACTGATCATTTCTTCGTCAGTGGGCAAACGTACAAAATCAGCAGGGGATCAAATACTTTTTTTCCCTCTCTGTATGTGTGTCTTGCCTACTCTTGTGTGTGGTGCCGTATTCGCATGGCCATCCCTTCTTGTGGGTTTTGTTTGTTGTCGTGTGCGGTGTCGACTGAGTGTGTTGCGTGTCTGCCTGTCTGCCCGTGTGTCGTGTGTCCGAGTGTAGGCGGTGCTGCCCGTGAAGTAGCGCCGCCGCCGCCGCCGCCACCGCCGTTGTCGCAGCTGCCGTGAGCGGATGGCCTCGGCCCGGGGCAGCTGGTACAGCCCGTTCCCGAGCGGCGCCGGCGTGCCAACCACCACCTCGCCTGCCAGCCAGTCCCCGGGCGTGGTGAGAGAGAGAGAGGCCCCTTCCAGCACACAGGCTACCCACAACTACACTACCTGCAACCCAGGGGCGCAACTATTGCGGGGGGCGGTGGGGTAGTTTAACACGTAGGCTTTTGTGACCAATATCATCCATGATATAGTTTTTTTTTTTAATTTGGGGTTAGATTGTGTAAATGTAACTGTGTCGTTAAACCCGCCACCACGTGGCATGGCCAATTGGTAAGGTTTGTCATGGAAACGGAACGTGCCAATTCGTTTACAATTGTAAATGTTGTGGATTTGCTCTCCAACACACCGGTGTGCCGTGCTAGTAACGTACTAGTAACGAGTTGGCATGTTCTGTTTACGTGACAAACCTTACTAATTAGCTGTCGGGTGGTGGCGGGTTTAACGACACATTTCTATATTTACGCGATCTAACCCCAAAAAAACTATATTATGGGGGGGGGGGGGTATGTGTTAGCGTTATGCGACGCATGAGGGGGCCTATTCGGCCACAAGTGGGCCCCGAATCAACAGATAAACAAGTACCAAAATTTAAGAACAAAATACCTACCTACACCTATAGTACCCACCTACACCTATAGTACCCACCCACCTAGACCTATAGTACCCACCTGACGATTATCTGAATCGGTCCTAGGCCTCCCCTAGGTCGACTCAGCCTGGTGCAGTGTGTAAACATCGCCACTAGGGAGATAAAGGCGACCAGGCACGGTGCTGGCCACCCACCCCCTCGTGTGCAGTGCTGGCCTTCATAGGTGCTACTTGCTAACAGCACTTGCTCCAGCAGTCTGTTAAGGCCACACTGGGAATCTTTTTGGTTTGTCTCTGTCGGGTAACACTCCGGTTGTGTATGGCAGGCGAGGATGGAGACAACGTTTGGGCCTGCGTACACCACCATCACCACCATCACCAAGGGTGAGCATCGCACATCTATAAACGCGGCACAAGCCAGGGGCGCGTGGATGGGTACGGTCCATGGAGTCATTCATGTGTGAGACGCTGTGCGTGTGTGAGAGATGCTGTGTATACGTGTGTGTGTGTGTGTATATATGAGACGCTGCGTATACGTGTGTGTGTGTGATGCTGTGTAGATGCTAGCGTGTTGCGCTATGAACCTGGCAACCTGAGTTCGATTCCCTCTCACGGCCACGATCACCTGTGACGATTATCTTAACCGGTCATAGGCTTCCCCTAGGTCAACTCGGCCTCAAATATGCACCTGGTGCAGTGTGTAAACATCGCCACTCAGGAGATAAAGGCGGCCGGGCGTGGTGCTTGCTACCCACCCTCTTCGTGTGCCGTGCCGGCCTTCATATGTACGTGGAACTTCTCTTGCACCGTGCGTAGCCAACTGTGCTAATCGGAGGCGTGAGGGAAGGACAACAAACTGACATCACTTGTCAAGGCTATACGGGGGATCTTTGTCTTTGTGTGTGACATGCTGCATACACGTTTGTACATGCCCTATATGTGCCTGCACGTGCGTGTATGCGCGTGTGTACGTGCGCGCCTGTGCACAGCGGATGGCACAAGCTCGTACATGCAGCACCGGCGCACACCGTCATCCGGCTCCACGGTGTTCAGCGCCCACGATGACGCCAACCTGCTGGTGAGAGGCTGCACCTCTCACACCGCTGTCCCACCGCTGCTGTGTCCGTCACTGCTGTCCCACAGCTGGGTCTAACGGCGACGTCTCGCCGTCTCCCCCGTCGTGGCCGTGTCCCATTGCATTGTTGTGAGTGCGTCTCATTGCATCGTCGCTGCATCTCGGGGCCGTGCGTGTCTCTCGCTTCACGGTTGTGTTGTCCAGGGTGCTATCCTTGGCCGTCTCTCACGCCGTAGGTCATGCTTTGTGCTTTGTTCCTCCCTGGCTCTGCGCTCGTGGACATCCCGCTCCCATGGGCACAGAGACTTGGGTTCTCTTCCCCGCGCTCTCCTTCCCTCCCTACCCCCCTCCTTCCCCCCCCCCCCCAAACCTTTCGGTGGTGGGGGGGGGTAGTAGCAACAGGAAGCACGCGTGCGTGTGACAGGAAGCGTGCGAGCGAGCTTTTCTGGCTTCTCGCTCAGCGGACGTTCCCCAGTCCACGCTCGCAAGCGGGGAGTGAGCGAAGCGAGCGCGCGTGGGGTTGTGAGTGGGCGAGCGAGCGAGCAGGTAGAAGCAAGTGAGAGCGGTTAGGCGAGCGAGTGTGAATGAGTGATCGAGCGATTGACAGGGAGTGAGTGAGCGAGTGATTTTAGCGAGCGGCATTGAGTGAACAGCTGTGAATGAGTGTGCGAGTATGTGGCAGTGAGTGAGCGGTGAGCGAGTGCTCATGAGTGTGTGCGTAAAGAGGGTGGTGCTGCGAGCGTGTGAGAGTAGGGGAGTGGTACTTCGCTTGTACGTTGGCAAGTGGCGAGTGGAGGTGAGCGGTAAGTGAGCTTCCGATTCGAGTGCTTGCGATGCCCGTCCACACCGCGTCTCTCCGCGTCGTCTCCCGTCGTGGCGCCCCAGCGTCGTCGCGGCAGCGGTGACGGTGGTACCAGAGAGGGAGGAGAGGTGACCGCGAGGAGGTAACCCCCCCCCCCCCCCGGTCCTCCACCCATCGTCGGCTCTCCGTGACCGCGCCTCTCTTTGACCTCTCTTCTCTCCGTTTTTTAATGAGCGAGCCGAGCTCGTGACAGCTCTTCATGACGGGCGCTTGCGCTCGCTGTGAAAGGTCGGCGCCGCCGGTGTTGCAGTTGTGGCATTTCTGGAACGGTGAACGTCATTTGGGAGGGCCGGTGCGTGGTGGCAGTGATGGTGGTTGATTAGGTTTTCTCTGTACGTGTGCACGTGTGTGTATGTGTGTGTGTGCGTGCGCTGATGCTTGCTAATAGCACTTGCCCTAACACTATTAAAGGCTATACAGGGGATCTTTGTCTTTGTGCAAATGTGGGTAGCGGCGGTGTAGCAGTTAGGGCACTGATCTATGAACCCGTCGACCCAAGTTTGATTCCTGCTCATGGCCAATGCCAGTGACGATTATCTTAACGAGTCCTGGGCCTCCCTTAGGTCGACTTAGCCTCAAATGAGTACCTGGTGCAGTGTTTAAACATTGACACTGGGGAGACAAAGGCGGTCGGGCATGGTGCTTGGCAAAAGCCTTAACAAAAGTCTGTTAAGGCTTTTGTTGGCACATGTGCACGCGTGCGTGTGTGTATATGTGTGTGGGCATGCATGTGAGGTCTTTGTTGTTGCTGCTGTGCACGTGGTGTGTGTGCGCTGTGGTTAGTGGAACTCCACTCTGAACCGGGCAAATTAAGTTCGGTGTATCGCCGGCCATGGCTAATATCGGTGGCAAGCAATATCTGAACAGGTCCTGGGCCTTCTCTAGGTCGACTCAATCTGTACCTGGGGCGATGTGAACACACCGCCACTGGGGAGACAAAGGTTGCTGGGCTTGGTCCTGGCCACCCACCCCCTCCTGCGGCGTGCAGGCCTAAATAGGTGCTCGCTAACAGCGACTGCCCCGGCAGTGTGTTAAAGGCTACGCGGGGGGGGGGGTCTTTGTCTTTTTTTGTGTGTGCAGCCGGGCCCTGTGGCCGCCATGTCGGTACGCTCGCTGCACTCCGAGTCGAACATGTCCGTGCGTTCCACCTTCTCGCTTCACGAGGACGAGGATGACGAGGTGAGGGGGAGATGACGAGCCCTTGCCTCTCACGCGCGTACACACACGCATACACTGCATACCCGCGTGTGCACACGCACGTGTGCACACATGCGTACACTGTGAATAAACATCGCTACTAGGGGACAAAGGCAGCCGGGTGTGGTGCTGCCCACCACACCGCCTCGCGTGTTTTGCCAGCCTTCATAGGTGCTCGCGAACAGCACTTTCCCCAACAGCCTCGTTAAGGCTATACAGGGGGATATTTGTTTGTGTGGCGTATGCGACGTGCGGTGTGTGTGACGCCATCACGCGGCGCGGTGTGACCACAGGACCCGCTGGTTTTTGCCGAGCCACCGTCCATCAAGCTGTGCTGCCAGCTGTGCTGCGGCATCTTTAAGGACCCCATCATCACGACATGTGGGGTGAGTCGCGTGCCGTTGCACGTTGTTGCCGCGCACGGTCGCTCGTCGTCGGTTTACACACCCCGTCACATGAACCCTTTCCCGTTCCGATGACGACGTATGTGTACGGCGTCAGTTTTTTTAATTCCGATTTCCCCCCCGTTGATGTATGTGTACATCATCGAAACGAAACCAGGATAAAAAAAACTAAGGTTAAATAACTTTATCGGTACCGAGGCTCGCACAAGGTCATGCGGGAGGGCGTGCGGTACAGTTTGGCGCCAGCTATCGTGGAGTGCGGCGGTCGCTAAGGTTGTCTGCGGTGAGTACAATGTCTTTATGCCTTTAAAAAAAACAACGGCGCTACTACAGCCTCTCTAAAATAAAGTTAAAGCTGAGCCGCTCGCACGTTCCGAGATTCAGAGGTGAACGGGACCCACAGCCTGCAACTTGCAGACGTCTTGGAACGGAAAGGGTTAAGCGCCTACACTTCATCATCACTCACCAGTCAGGCTATGATATTGTCGCTTAGGAAGAGGTGCGTGGAAAAAAACTAGAATTCACGGAATAAGGTGGGGTAGTGGCACCCCCCCTACCCCCCGCCCCATTATCTCCGCTCCACTCCACTTCCCTCCCACCAACGTACAGCATTTTCAAAAATAAATAAAGGAACGCCTGATCTAATGTGTTTCTGCAGCCATTTCCAATATTTCACGGACTTTCCTGACCACCGCCGTGAACACCGTGCCAAAATCGTAGCCTTCATCATCACCGCTCACCGTCACGCATCCTCCCCCACACCATCGCTCACCATCACGGATCATCACTTGCATCATCGCTCACCACTGTACATCGCCACTCATCATCACGCATCATCACTCACCATCACGCATCACCACTTGCATCATCGCTCACCACTGTACATCGCCACTCACCATCACGCATCATCACTTGCATCATCGCTCACCACCGTACATCGCCACTCACCATCACACACCATTGCTCGCCATCACACATCACCACTCGCTATCACACCTCACCACTCACAATCGGGCATTGTGCCTCGCCCTCACACCACCATCACACGTCATCGCCTACCTTCACACGTCACCACAGCACATCATCGCACCTCCGATTAGCACGGTTGGCTGCATACGTTGCGTGATAAGTTCAACATACATAAATCCAATGCATTCTTCTTCCTGGCCACCAGCAGCACCAGTACTTGGGTGTCTGGTGCCATCATTTGCTGAGACAGGGGAGGGGAGCGGGGGGGGGGGGGGCAGTGGTGCCGTGCCACGTGTATGTACGTACGTGTGTCTCTGTGCCGAGATGTTAACTCCCTCACCTGGTATGCAGGAGGTTGTGGATTCGATCCCAACCCTGATGCCTGTATATTTGGAGTTTGAATGTTCTTCATGTGGTCGCGTGGATTTGTCTCTGGGTCCTCCGGGTTTTCCCCTACGAGTTTAAAATCTCACGCGCCTTTCGAGTATTTGGCTGATATAAATTGTCACGTGATAAGCCACTTCGTTGAGCTATCATTTGTTTGCCAGGTCGCTTCTGAAAAAGAGCTGTGTCGCTCAGTGGGCCTTACCTGGTAACAATACAAATAGTTACTCTTTGGTTCATCATTAGACCTCCTTTGCCAGTACCAAAATGTAATAATAATAACAGGGTTTTCCCCCCTTTATTCTGGCAACAAAACTTAAACCTTTTTACGAGGATTCATGTCTGCCTTAACCACAATACCTGCAGTCAAAATGCAAACAAAAAACATACTATGACAGTCTCGTCCCTTCACCTGATGAAGGCCGCTTGTGTTGTGGCCGAAACGTCGTGATTTTTTGTTATTTTATTTTCACCTACGTGACTTTACCCAATAGAACCAGGGAGTATGGATCCTAGCAGTCACGAAAGCTTTAAATCTAGAATTCAATATATGCATTGTCCTTGATACTTATTGGTCCACACCAAGGGACGGCTTTCTTTTGAGCCTCGACCCAATTGGTGCTCGACCAGATCAAGGACAATGCATATATTATCGTAGTATGTTTTTTTGTTTGCATTTTGCCTGCAGGTATTGTGGTTAATGCAGACATGAATCCTCGTAAAAAGGTTTCAGTTTTGTTGCCAGAATAAAGGGGGGAAAAAAACTATTATTCTTACTTTTTGGTTCTTTTGGTAAAGTCACGTAGGTAGAAATGAATAGATCACGACGTTGCGATCGCAACACAAGCGACGGTCATCAGGTGAGACCAACACGGCAGGGGAAATGCTGACGAAGGAGAAGGCAGCATTTTCCTTGTTGTGTTTGTTTTACCTGATGACTGTCGCTTGTGTTGCGATCGAAACGTCGTGATCTATTATTATTATTGTTCTACCTACGTGACTTTACCGAAAGAACCAAAGAGTATGGATTCATGCAGTCACGAAAGCTTCAAATCAACAATAATTGTTTAGTTTTAGTGTTTTTATGGAGAAGCCACTGGCGCCCACGTCACGTGTACCCACGTGTATGTGTGTGTGCTGAACCCACTGGCGCCCACATCACGTGTACGTACGTACGTGTGTGTATGTGTGTGTGTGTGTTTGTGTGTGTGTTTGTTTGTGTGTGGAACCCACTGGCGCCCATGTCACGTGTACATGTGTGTGTGCCGAACCCACTGGCGCCCACGTCACGTGGACGTACGTGTGTGTGTGTATGTGTGTGTTTGTTTATGTGTGGAACTCACTGGCGCCCATGCCACGTGTGTGTACGTACGTACGTGTGTGTATGTGTGTTTGTGTGTGTGTGTTTGTGGAACTCACTGGCGCCCATGCCACGTGTGTGTACGTACGTACGTGTGTGTATGTGTGTTTGTGTGTGTGTTTGTGGAACCCACTGGCGCCCATGCCACGTGTACGTACGTACGTGTGTGTGTGTTTGTGTGTATGTGTGTGTAACCCACTGGCGCCCATGCCACGTGTACGTACGTACGTGTGTGTGTCTATGTGGAACCCGGTCGCCCGTGCCCAGTTCCGCTCGCGATTGCTGGCGCCCCACTTATCAGTTCCACTCGCTTTGTTTCATAACGAGGCCGGGGAGGCCTTCGTTGTGGGGGGGGGGTTTTCCCCCCCATTTATTTATAATTTTGTTTCGCAATTATTTACCCAAGGATAGACTCGCTTAGCCTCAAGGCTTTCGTTTTTCAGGAAAGGGTCCTGGCGAGCCACGTGGTGCGGGACGACGTGACGATCACCTCGAGCTATTTCCTAATCGAAGAGGAGTTTGTCGGCGGCAGTGGAGAAGAGCGGTGACGGCTCGTGACTCGGCTCTCGTGACTCCGCGTTGGGCCTTGACTGCTCGTGACTGCCATTGGGCCGTGACGGCTCGTGACTGCCGCTGAAATGTGACCGCTCTTGACTGGAGCTGGGCCTTGATGGCTCAGGACTGATGCTGGGCATAGACGGCTCGTGACTCGCGCGCGGGACTGTCACGCCGACGTGCAAGGGGGTGGAAATCCTACAGCCCAACGCTGCGTGCGTTTCTCTCGTGCAGTTTGTGTCTGTTTTGCATTGCGTGCGTCTCTAATGTGTTGTACGCACGTTGAGATTCTTTCCCACCGTACGGAGCCAACCGTGTGCTGATCGGAGGTGCGGGGGAAGGACAACATTGTGCGCAGTTTGTGTGTCCGTGTGTGTTGTGCTGTTTTTCTGTTATGTGTTTTTTCATTTCGTGTTGTGTGTGTGTCTGTCTTGTGTGTGTTGTGCTATGGGTTACATCTGCTCTGTGTGTGCGCCGTGCCCCTCTGCTGTGTGTGTGTTGCATCTGGCATGCCCTTGTTGCGTTGTTTATCGTGCGTGTGTGTGTGCTGTGTCTGTTGGGTCTGCAGCACACGTTCTGCCGCAAGTGCGCCTTGACGTCCGGTGAGTTGCGCGTACGCTTCGCGTCACGTCCGGGTGAATGTGTAGCGAGCCGCTCGGGGTGGGGGGAGTGCGGTGGTGAGGTCCTGCGGTGAATGGTGAGCGAGGTGGTGAGCGAGGTGTAGTGGTGAAGGTTGTGGTGAGGAAGATGTGTGCAACGGTGAGGATGGAGGTGGTGAGGAATCATTGCAACTGGTGGTCATTGAAAAACTATTCTGTTCAATTCGGCACCGCCAGCCACGCCACCCAGGTCCACTATCATCCCTACCACCAACACCTTCGCTGTTTCCACCGCCCCGCAATGCCACCACTGCCACCACCACGACCACCAACAGCACCACTGCCATCCTCCATCGCTATCACACTCCGACAGTTACCACCAACAACAACAACAACAGCAGCAACAGCCGCCATTCGTGGACATCATCGCAGCGCTTGTGCCAGGCCGCTGGTTTCGAACCGATATATTTACTAAGACCACCAGCACCATTACCATCCCACCACTGACAAACAACCGCCGTTCGCCACTAAGTGGCAGCGACGTCACAACGGCGCTTGTGCCAGGCTCGGTGCACCATATCCCCACCAGCCAACGCCAACAGCATTCGGCACCGCCACCACCACGGCGGCAGCAGCCGAACAAACAAAGACGCGCCTCGAAAACAGAATCTTAAAAAGCCAAAACCCGAACCACGAGCAGAACATGCCATTGGCACGCGCTGTGTTTTCGGTGCAATTAAACGCAAAAAGCCACCTCCAGAGATCGTAAAGCTGCGGCGACCACACCTACGACAGCGGCCAGGGCCAAACAACAGCAGAGAGCGCGGTGCGAGGTGGGGGGGGGCGGTTTAGAAGGAGTCAGTGGACGGAGGGTTGTGAGATGGAGTGGGGTGGGTGGCGGCAGCAGCGTAGGGCAGCGTCGGTGGCGGGCGCCACCAGGACAGATAAGCTGGGTCTTGGGGGGGGGGGGGGAGGCGAGGACGGGGGGCGGGGAGGTGTGGGGTGGCGGCCCCCCTCCCCGGCAAGGTGCTTCCTGCCCCCCCCCCAGCGGTCGCCGCGGACGTCACGACTGCTTGGCCGTCGTGGCCCCTGGCGCATTGCCAGACGCCGGGAGAAAGTGCCGCATTTTGGCCGTAAATTTTGTTTTGATTGCAAAGAAGTAACGTGGGGGGGGGGGGGGGTGTGTGGAGAGCAGGGGTGGCGTTCTCTTGCCGAGCGGAGTGGAGTGGCTCTTGCGTCCAGATGAAGGCCGGGGGTTGCGGGGGTTGCGGGGGGGTGGGGGGGGGCGCAAGTTGGGAGAATGAGCGGTGGACTGGAGGTGGTCGCGTGCCGCCAAACGTGCCGTTCATGTTCGTTACGAAACCTTTCCCACACCGTCCACCGTCCCCTGCGTTCATTCCCCTCACTTGCCAGCTCACAGTTCACGAGGGGGTTATATTGTGTGTGTGTGTGGGGGGGGGGGCGGGGGGAGCACAATGCCTGCTTCTTATGTCGTGCCGGCCTTAATAGTTGCTCGCTAACAACACCAACAAGTCGGATTAGGCCGGCACTGGGGTGTACGCGTCGAGCGTTAACTGCTGCGTCACAAACCCCGGCATCCGGAGTTCGATCTCCGGTCACGGCTAACATTAGTGGCGAACGATATCTCGATCAGAAGCTCGGCACCCCCTATGGTGACTCGGTCTTTAAATGAGTACCCGGGTCGCGTGTGTAAACATCAGCTCTGGGCGCGGTACTGCCCTACGTCACCCCCCCCCCCCCCCCCGTGTGTGCTGTGCCGACATTAATTACAAGGTCGCACTCGTTGCACACAAAGTGCTCACCACGAATGAACGACAATACCTTGCTGATCAAGGAGCATAAACCATCACGCCAACTCCGGTCAGCCTTGCTTCTGGCCAACCATCGAACAAAGATGGTCACCGTCTGGAGCGCTCTTCCTTCATTGAATGGAACATTCATTTCTTTGGGAATGCTTTTTGTAATAAGAGGGGTTTTTTTCCAATTTTTTTCTGGCAACAAAAATGAAACTTCTTTTTTTACGAGGATTCATGTCTGCATTAACCACAATGCTTGCAGTCAAAATGCAAACAAAAGGCGTCATCTGGTCTTGGACCAATTGAGACCAGGCTCTAAAGAAAGCTGTCTCTGGTGTGGACCAATCAGATTCAAGGACAATGCATATATTATCAAAGTGTGTTTTGTTTGCATTTTGACTGCAAGTATTGTGGTTAATGCAGTAACAAGAATCCTCGTAAAAAAAGGTTTCAGTTTTGTTGCCAAAAAAAAGGGGGAAAAACCACTATTATTATATTTTGGTCCAGTGATGTAAATGCTTTTTGTGTTTAATTTGTTGTCCTTCCCCCCACACCTCCGATGAGCGTGGTCGCCTGCGTGCGGTGCCAAAGAAGTTTGACATTTACATGCGTGTGCATACGTACAATAGGGCGCTCACCAACAGCGCTTGCCCCAAAGGTCCGTTTAAAAAGGCTTTTTTTGTCTTTTGCAGAGAAGTGCCCCGTGGACAACGCGAATCTCACGGTCGTGGTGAACAACATTGCTGTGGCCGAGCAGATCGGGGAGCTCTTCATCCACTGCAAGTTCGGGTGCCACGTGGCGGCGGGGGGCGGCGGTGGCGTGGGGGTCGCGGGGAAGCTGGGCTCGTGGGAGGTCGACCCCCGCGGCTGTCCCTTCACCATCCGCATCAGCGCTCGCAAGCAAGTCGCCCCGCGCTGTCGCCCCGCACTACACAGAGCACTACCCAGCGCTACGTGTTTGTGCACATGTACCTGCATGTGCGCACGTGTGTGCGCGTGCACGTGCCTGCGCGTGCACGTGCCTGCGCGTGCGTGCGCACGTGTGTGTGTGTGTGTGCGTTTGTGCCGGGAGCATGTGCGGGGAGCCGCAGTGTAGCGGTTTGCGCGCTGCGCTACAAACCCGGCGTCGAGAGTTAGATTCCCGCTCGCAGCCAACACCAGTAACGATTATCTTAGCCAGTCATGGGCCTCTGCTCGGTCGACTCGGCCTCCAAATGAGTACCTGGTGTGGTGTGTAAACATCGCTACTGGGGAGACAAAGGCGGCCGGGCGTGGTGCTGGCCACGCAGCCCCTCGTGTGCCGTGCCGGCCTTCATAGGCGCTCGCTAACAGCACTTGCCCCAACGGTCTTGTTAAAGCTATAGGGGGGTGATCTTGGTCTTTGTCTGTGTTTTTTTGCAGGGAGCACGAGGAGAGCTGTGACTACCGCCCCGTGCACTGCCCCAACAACCCGAGCTGCCCCCCGCTGCTCAAGGTCAACCTGGCAGTGCACCTCAAGGAGTGCGAGCACATTAAGTGTGTGCACGCCAAGTACGGGTACGCCCAGCGCCGGCGGACATCAGCAGCAGCAGCAGCATCAGCATCATTAGCAGCAGTATCATCATTTGCTACAGCATCGTCACCATTTCTATCATCTCCCGTAGCAGTATCCGCAACAGCATCATCATAATTTATCAGCAGCAGCAGCTGCAGCGTTGTAATAATCAGCGGCAGCTGCATTATGCTTTCGCCAGCAGCAGCAGCAGCTCATGCGAATGTATAAAAACTAAAATGTTATTAATACTGACAGTGGTGTGTCCCCCCCTGCCACCACCCCTCTCAGAGTTTTGCCCACTTCCCCCACCCCCCTGTTTAAACTCGCCAATGGGTGCAGGGGTGAGCGAAAAATAACGTGTGTAAAACGAATTGACGAGAAAGAGTGTAAAAAAAATAAGATTATTAAAAAAAAGTTTTTATTTTATTAAAAACACGAAAACAGCCGACAGACGTGAACATAATAGCACTTTTATTGGGGTTAAGACCGTTTAAAAAATAGCCAATTCCTCTGGGAGTGACCATAGCCCTTCCTCCTCACCGTTTAACGGGAAATGCTATACAACGCACCACCGCATACTCTTCTTGCATTTGATTGAACCATTATGGTGCTGATTATACATTTTACCCTCGTGTAGTAGTCGTACGTTTTCATGTTTATTGTTTAGTTTTGCGGGCGCGGTGCTGGCCACCCACACCCTCGGGCGCCGTGCCTGCCTTCATTGGTGCTCGCTCACGGCACTTGCCCCCACAACCTGTTACAGGCTACACAGGGGATCTTCGTCTTGTGTGTGCTGTGTTAAAACCCAGCATGGTGGCACAACAGTGGGGAGCACAGGTGGTGCATCTGCCAGCCATCTCCGCCAAGTCAACCCCAAAACACACTGGGTCTGTCCCGTGACCTCCTGCCAGCATCGAGCCTTTGACACACGAGCGCTGCGGTGACGTCGCCATCACATATCGCCGAAAATCCGGACGCCGTGGTGGCGAGATGTTAACTCCCTTGCCTGGCGCACAGGAGCTCGTGGGTTTTATCCCGACCCTGACGCCTGCTGCTGTATATTTTGGAGTTTGCGTGGTCGCGTGGATTTTTCTCCGGTGTCCTCCGGTTTTTCCCTCCGCATTTAGAATGAACACCATGCGTTTAGAGTATTTGGCTGCTGAAATAAATAAAAACCACGTGATGATGAGCACTTCGTTGAGCTCTAATTTGTGGTAGCCGGGTCGCTTCTGAAAAAGAGCTGTGTAGCTCAGTGGGCCTTGCCTGGTGTAAAAAAAAGGATACCGTTGACGTCGTGCGTCCATCCTTGCGTGCGTGCGTGCGTGCGTGCGTGCGTCCGTGACCCCAGGTGCCCGTTTGCGGGCAACCAGGAGGCGTTTGCTCTGCACCTGCCCTCCTGCCGCTTCGAGGGGCTCAAGGAGTTCCTGCAGCAGACGGAGGATCGCTTCCACGAGCTGCAGCTGTCGCTCACGCAGAAGGACCAGGAGATCGGCTTCCTGCGCAGCATGCTGGGCAAGCTGTCGGAGCGCCTCGACCAGCACGAGAAGAGCGTCGAGCTGAAGTTCGGTAACGACCGCAGTGGCGCGCGGCACGCGCGAACGGCGCGCAGTCGGATTCGGAATATTGATTTGCGCCGGAGGAATCCGATGAGCTGTGAAGCCCCCTTTCGCAGATGTCCAGTAGTGAGCATGGGCACGCGTGCACAGCCCTCGCAGGCACGCACAGCTCGCATGGGCGAAACTCAAAGACTAAGATCCCCCTTATAGCCTTAACAGACTGTGTTCGCGAGCACCTATGAAGGCCGGCAAGGTCCATGCCAGGGTAGGTGGCCAACACCACGCCCGGCCGCATTTGTCTTCCTAGCGGCGATGTTCGCAGATCGCCGGTTCAGAACATCATCACCGGTGTTGGCCGTGAGAGGGAATTGAACTCGGGTTGCCGGGTACACGCACGGGAAACACGCGCAACAGCTTGCACAGGCGTGCAGGTAGTCACAGGCATGCACAGTTCACACGGACACGCACGGCTCACACCGGCACGCAGAGTTCACACGAGCGTGTGGACACTCACAGGCACGCAGAGTCCACACGAGCGTGTGGACACTCACAGACACGACCCTCGCAGTTGGAGGCGGTTAGAGGGGTTGAGGTGGGCTAGCAGACCGGCAAAGGGCCGGGTGCACGTATGGTGTGGCGCGGCTTGGTGGTGGTGCTGGGGCTGATGTGGCGGTGCCGTGGGTGTGACCGTGCCTGCAGATGTGCTCGACGAGAACCAGAGCAAGCTGAGCGAGGACCTCATGGAGTTCCGGAGAGACACCTCCATGCTGAGCGTGAGTGGCGCTCGCAACTGCACAGCCGCGCATTTGACCGGGGCAGTAGCCACGCGATAGCCGCGCTACTTCAACTGCGTGACGACACGTAGAACCTCGGCAGCCGCGCGGCAACCACGCTGCAACCACGCCTCCACGTTCGGCAGCAGTGTGGAGCTTACGAAGCCATGGCCATGGCACCTTCGCCAAATGCCTTTGTCCTACAAGTGTGTGCTAATTGTTTGGTGGCGCTGCCACTGCTGCTGCTGCTGCGTTGGCAGTGATAAGGACCAAGCACATCTATAACCAACATTCATCACATTCGCCAAGAACACTGTTGCCTTAAAAAGTATGATATAAGAGCCGACTTTTATTATCCGTGCGACAACATCAACATTAATTCAACGGCACCGGAGATTAATTTGGCTGCACGACACGCAAACTACAATTCATTCAACTTCCCCTTAACGCTCCTGCCACCACCTACCCACCCTGCCCCCCCCATATACCCCTTGCCCACCCCCCGCCGCGATCTCTCGAGCGTGAGAACGCTGTGAAGTCACAACGTCGCCCTCTCCCTCCGCAGGACGAGCTCTCGCACATCAACGCGCGGCTCAACATGGGGGTCCTGGGATGTAAGTAGCCCCTCCCCCTCCCCCCACTACCGCCCTCTGCCACCCCCACCCCACTCAACCCTGCTCGGCCCCACCCACTCAGCCACTGTGGCACGATGCTGACGATGTGATAAAGGGGGGGGGGGGGGCCCGGCCAGCGATGATGATGAGGACGAAGAAGAGGAGGGGGGGAAGAGGAGGTGCGGGGCTGCCCGGTGTTTCCTGTCGTGAGCTCAGCGCTTCCCGTCCGGTGCAATGGCAGGAAGTGGAGCCCAGCTGTGGCGGTGCTGACGCACGGACTTCTCACACTAGCTCCTCACGCTGGCTTCTCACACTAGCTCCTCACGCTGGCTCCTCACTTCTCACACTAGCTCCTCACGCACGGACTTCTCACACTAGCTCCTCACGCTGGCTTCTCACACTAGCTCCTCACGCTGGCTCCTCACTTCTCACACTAGCTCCTCACGCACGGACTTCTCACACTAGCTCCTCACGCTGGCTTCTCACACTAGCTCCTCACGCTGGCTCCTCACTTCTCACACTAGCTCCTCACGCACGGACTTCTCACACTAGCTCCTCACGCACGGACTTCTCACACTAGCTCCTCACACTAGCTCCTCACGCTGGCTCCTCACGCTGGCTCCTCACGCACGGACTTCTCACACTAGCTCCTCACGCTGGCTCCTCACACTAGCTCCTCACACTAGCTCCTCACGCTGGCTCCTCACGCTGGCTCCTCACGCTGGCTCCTCACGCTGGCTTCTCACACTAGCTCCTCACGCTGGCTCCTCACACTAGCTCCTCACGCTGGCTCCTCACGCTGGCTCCTCACGCTGGCTCCTCACGCTGGCTCCTCACGCTGGCTCCTCACGCTGGCTCCTCACGCTGGCTCCTCACGCTGGCTCCTCACGCTGGCTCCTCACGCTGGCTCCTCACGCACGGACTTCTCACACTGGCTCCTCACGCTGGCTCCTCACGCTGGCTCCTCACGCTGGCTCCTCACGCTGGCTCCTCACGCTGGCTCCTCACGCTGGCTCCTCACGCTGGCTCCTCACGCTGGCTCCTCACGCTGGCTCCTCACGCTGGCTCCTCACGCTGGCTCCTCACGCTGGCTCCTCACGCTGGCTCCTCACGCTGGCTCCTCACGCTGGCTCCTCACGCTGGCTCCTCACGCTGGCTCCTCACGCTAGCCTCGCTCGTAGCCGGCACGGCAGCAGGGGGTGGGTTGGGTCCACGGGACAGTCTGGTGCCTGCCATAGGAATGCGGAATTGCCACCGTTGGCTCCGTGGCCATCTGTGTTTGAGCAGGGAAAAGACCAGACTGTTTTTTTTTTAGAAATGCAGACGGGGCTGTCGGTGATTAATGAGATTGCCGGGGTATCAATCAGCCACTGATTGCTCACCGCGAGAGTGGGCACCGAATGATTCCCACACCTATGATGCATGCATCAAAACACCTTGTGTGTGAGCAGAGGTTGTTCGTCAAACATGGAAACGGTCAATATCCTTTACAGTGTAATTCCAGGTGAGAGCCCTTTAATACCTAGGCCTATATAAGCTATCAATTATATTATTTTGACTAGGTAATTCCCACTGAGCTATACAGCTCTTTTTATAGAAGCGACCTGGCCACAAATGGTAGCCCAATTAGGTAGCTTATCACGTGGAAATTTAGAGCAGCCAAATACTCAACAAATGTTGATTCTAAACGTGGAGGGAAAACCTGGAGGACCCGGAGAAAAATCCACACGACCACGGGGAGATAAAGAACATGCAAACTCCAAATTCTACAGGTGTCAGGGTCGGGAATGAACCCACGGCTTCCTGCATACCAGACAAAGTAGATAACATCTTGCCACCGCGGCGCCCATATTGTTCATCACGGCTTGGCTCTGCCTCGAAGACTGAGCAATGGGCACAAAGCCTCCACCGTTTAACTTGATCCCGCTCTGATGACGGTCCCAGCCATGCTGGGGTTTTCCCATCGTGAGCTGAGCCTGAATCAAGCCACGGGTGAGCCGTCGTTTGTACGTCTCTGAAAGCAAGTGATCGGCTCAGGCCTGAGCTGAGGCGGTGACTGAGAATATGGCCGGGCCCGAGTGCCTCTGGCAGGTGAAACCTGGGTGGTGGCGTTGATGCCAACGTGACATCACGGCGGTTGTGTAACGCTTCGCATGCCTGCACCGCCCCCACCCCCCCCCCCCTCGTAGCATACGACCCGCAGCAGATTTTCAAGTGCAAGGGCACGTTTGTGGGCCACCAGGGCCCCGTGTGGTGCCTGTGCGTCTACCCCACCGGAGATCTCCTCTTCAGCGGCTCCTCCGACAAAACCATCAAGGCAGGCTGCGCCACGCGCCGCCCTCACCGGCCGGCTCGTGCCATCTCGCCAGCAGCAGCACCACCACTGCCAAAACAACCGGCAGTAGTGCCACCAGTTTCTGGCAACTCGCCGCAACCAACACCACCGCTCTCACCACCGGTCGTATTACAACTACCGGCACCGCCAGCACAACCATTAGCAGTGCCGCCAGCAGCACCAGCAGCAACGACATCGCAGCACCTCTGGCACCACCAGTTCCTGCCATCCCACTGCAAGCAATACCACCACTACCACCACCACCACCTGCCATCTCACGACCACCAGTGCCATCAACACAACAGCCACTATCCTTGAACACCTGTGAGATGTGGGAGTCTGAGAGATGTTTGTTCTTGGTTGTCGCAGCTGTTATTGCTAATAATGCTGCCGATGATATTCATGCTGTTGGGCAGGTGTGGGATACGTGCACCAACTACAAGTGTCAGAAAACCCTGGAGGGGCATGACGGTATCGTGCTGGCGCTGTGCATACAGGGGTGAGTGGTGGTGGTGGTGGCGGTGGTAGTAGTGGTTGTGGCCACCACGAGGTGAATACTGGACTATTGAGACACCTCTTGCCCATTGAAATTCCACTGGCCCATTAAGACGCTACTGGCCCATTGAGATTCCACTAGCCCATTGAAACGCCACTGGCCTATTGAGATTTGACTGGCCAATTGAAACGCCATCTGCCTATTGAGACGCCACCGGCCCATTGAGACACCACCGGATCATTCATATGCGACTGGCCCATTGAGATTCCAATGGCCTATTTGAGATTCACTTGGCCAAACACACACACGGGCAGAGAAACACAACACCACACGCACTGCAGCACACTCGCATACATATACCAACAAAGATAAGAACCCCCGTTCAGCCTTAACACACTGTTGGGGCAAGTGCTGTTAGCGAGCACCTATGAAGGCCGGCACGCCACACGAGCGGGTGGGTGACCAACACCACGCCCGGCCGCCTTCAAGTGGTGATGTTTACACACCGCACCAGGTACTCGTTTTAGGCTGAGTCGACCTAGGGGAGGCCCAGGACCGGTTCTGATAATTGTCCCACACTCAACAACATCAAGCACCAATCACACTCACACACACACAAACATGCTGCAGTGACAGCACACGCACTTGACGAACGCCGGCGCGTCTGGTTGTGTGTAAAACAAATTTATAATAAATGTATTCCTATTTTTATATCTTTCCAGGAACAAGCTCTACAGCGGATCGGCAGACTGCACGATAATCGTGAGTGATCGCCGAGGTGGTAACATTTCGTTTCAGCTTTTCTCCTCTCCCTTCTAAAGCGAAGGGGATATTTAACCAGACCTGGTGTGCGCGCGAGTGCTTGTGCGCGTGTTTTGCGTGTTTGTTGCGTCTATGTGTGTGTAGTGTAGCTCGCGAACAGCACTTGCCCCAACAATCTGTTAAGGCTATACGGGGAATCTTTGTCTTTGTAGTTTAGTGGTTAGCGCCCAGGGGCTACGAAACCGACGACCCGAGTTCGATTGCCGCTCACGGCCAACACCAGTAATGATTACTCGAACCGGTTCTGGGCCTCCCCGCAGTCGCCTCGGCCTAAAATGAGTGCCTGGTGCGGTGTGTAAACATCACCACTGGGGAGGTGAGGCAACCGGCGCGTGGTGCTTGCCACATCACCGCCTCGTGTACCGTGTCAGCCATCACAGGTGCTCGCTAACAGCAGTTGCGTTTCAAGACGCTGCTTTACGTATACAAATTGTATTGTAGTTTTGATTTAAAGCTTTCGTGACTGCAGTAATTCATATTCTTAGTTTTTTCGGTAAAGTCACGTTGTTATTTTGTTGTTTCTCTTCAACGTGACTTTACCGAAAAAACTAAGAATATGTATTGTAGTTGTCTGTGTAGCGTGTGTGCGTGAACTCGTGTGCGCATGTGTGCATGTTTGTGTTTGTATGCACATGCGTGCCTACGTGCATGCGTGTGTACTTGCGTGTGCCTGCGCTTGTGGGGAACGGGAGTGTCATAGTTAGAACTCTGCGCGACGAACCCTGCGACCCGAGTTCGATTTCCACTCGCGGCCAACATGAATGATGATTATCTGAACCGGTCCTGGGCCTCCCCTAGATCGACTCGGCTTCAAATGAGTCACCTTGTGCAGTGTGTAAAAAATCACCACTCGGGAGACAAAGGCGGCCGGGCGTGCTGCTGGCCACATCACCCGTTCGTGTGCCGTTCCGGCCTTCGTAGGTGCTCGCTAACAGAACTTGCCCCAACAGTCTCCTCAGGCTATACGGGGGATATATGTCTTTGTTTTATATGTGTGTATGTGTGTGTGTGTGTATGCGCGCCTACATGCACTTGCGTGTGCGTGCGCATGTACATTCGTGCGTACGTGTGTGTGTGTGCGTGAAGGTGTGGGACATTCCGACGCTGCAGAACGTGAACACGATCCGCGCGCACGACAACCCTGTGTGCACCCTCGTGGCCTCGGCCAGCCTCCTCTTCACCGGCTCGCTCAAGGCCATCAAGGCGAGGAGCCTGCCCCCTCCACCCCTGTCGCTCCGCCACTCCGCCCCTCTACCACCCATGCCGCCCGCACCACCTGCACCGACGGCTGTGCCCGCTGTACCGACGGCTGTCCCCGCTGTACCGACGGTTGTGCCCGCTGTACCGACGGCTGTCCCCGCTGTACCGATGTTCCCAATGAGCAGCTGTCTCAGGCTGTGCTGTGCCGGTGGTGGTGCAGGTGTGGGACATGGTGGGCACGGAGCTGAAGCTTAAGAAGGAGCTGACAGGGCTGAACCACTGGGTGCGGGCGCTGGTGGCCTCGCAGCACTACCTTTACAGTGGCTCCTACCAGACCATCAAGGTGGATTCACATAACAAAGACAAAGATTACATTATGAGACCTCCTTTGCCAGAAACAAGATATAGGAATAGGTTTTACCCTTTTAAAAATTTAAGGACAGTGCATATTATTATCAGAGTTGTCTTTTTTGTTTGCATTTTGACTGCTTGTGTTGTGGTTATTGCAAACATGATGCCTTGAATAAAGGTGTCAGTTTTTGTGCCAGTTAAAAGGGTAAAACCTATTCCTAAAGACAAAGATCCCCCGTATAGCCTTAACACACTTTTGAGGCAAGTGCTGTTAGCGAGCACCTATGAAGGCTGGCACAGCGCATGATGGGGTGGTTGGCCAGCGTAACGCCTGGCCACCCTTTTCTCCCCAGTGGCGATGTTTACACACCGCATCAGGTACTCATTTGAGGCTGAGTCGACCTAGGTGGAAGTCCCGGACCTGGTCTTAGCCATGAGCGGGAATCGAACTCGGGTCCACGGGTTTGTAGCGCACCGCAATGACCGCTGCACTACCACACACACATAGACGTACGCAACAACAATAACAGCCGGCGTTCGACACGAAGCGACGGTGATGTCACCACAGTGCCTGTGCCAGATTAGGTGAACTTTAGGGCCACGTGTAGTGTTGAAGGCTCGCTGTCAAGAGATATGCGGGTCAAGACACATGTACATGCACACACATGAACATGAACACACATGGACATGCACACACATATACATGCACACATATGGTACACTTGTGTATGCATGCCTGCTCATCGTCACGACTATTCTGTAGTTGACGCAGATTGAGTGTGGTGTGTGTGTGTGTATGCTGGTGCTCATTAACAGCACTTCCCTCAACAGTCTGTCAAGGCTATATGGGGGATCTTTGTCTGTATGCTGTTGATGCTCACAACGAACGCCAGGTGGCTAAAACGCAGCAGGTTGGCAAAAAGGCTGAGCACGGGTGATGCATCTTCCAGTCATCTCGGTCGGTCAACCCATGGCACCTGGGTCTGTCCCGTGGCCTCCCGTCACTGAGTCTTCGGTACTTCAAATGGCCTCGAAGTGCACCTAGCCTTGCACAAGCACTTTGGTGTGATGTCGGTAAGAAGTGCCGTAGGGGTTAAGAGCACTGCGCAACTAACCCGGTGACCTGAGGTTGACCCCCGGCCACGGCTCGCGTCGGTGGCAATTATAAGAACCGAACTCCTGGTCTTCTCTTCGGACGACTTGGCCTTAATTCAGCACCTGGTGCAATGTGCGGCATCAGCATCGGGGAGACAAAGGCGGCTGGCGGGGCGGTGCTGGTCACTGCACGCCCCTCCTCGTTCAGCCGTGGCGTCCTTCAGAGGTGCCCGCCCGATGGCACGCTCCCCAGCAGCCTGTGGGGGTACACCGGGGATCTGTGCCTCTGCGTCTTTTCGGTTGCAGATCTGGGACATGCGCTCGCTGGAGTGCGTGCACGTCCTGCAGACGTCCGGGGGCAGCGTCTACTCCATCGCCGTTACAAACCACCACATCGTGTGCGGCACCTACGAGAACCTCATACACGTACGGGCGCGCACGCACACTCGCGCGCACACACAAGACATTAACAGACTGTTGCGGCAAGTGCTGTTAGCGAGCACCTATGAAGGCCGGCACGGCACGCGAGGGGGTGGGTGGCCGGCACCACGCCCGGCCGCCCTCGTCTCCGCAGTGGCGACGTTTCCACATCGCACCAGGTACTCATTTAAGGCTGAGTTGACGTAGGGGAGGCTGATGACCGGTTCCGATAATCGTCACTGGTGTTGGGCGTGGGCGGGAATTGAACTCGGGGCGCCCGGTTCATAGCACACACACTTACTCACGTACACACGTGTACACACGCGTGTGCACGCTCACGTATCACATTCACACTCGCACGCATACACGAACAGCTGGGCGATCTTGTCACAAGCCCGGGCTGTCACAAGCCAGCGAGCGCTCCTGTAGTCATCCCACCCGACTTTGGGAGGTCACATGTGCCCAGCGATGCAGAGGTTCACGGTTCCAACTTGGCGGGCCGCCCCGGTTATTCACGCGTGTTTGATAACCATAAAATACAACGTGCCGTCCGCTTCACAGTGGACACTAAAGATCCCCTGTTGTGATTCGAAACGAGTAGTCCATATTTGTGCCAGCATAATGTTCCAAATTTGATCAATTTATTAATTTTATTACCCCCCCCCCCCCCCCCCCCTGCAAATTACTCAACTGCAGGAACGCACAGCATCATCGCCACCGACTGTGAAACTATTGCATACTGTGCCTGCGAAACACAGCTGCGTCTTACTTCATATTAGCCTTCCGCTCTCAGAATTATTGCGTGAATACCCAATTATCATTATTATCTCATGCACGATGCGCGCTTTCCCATTTAAGTGATAGATGTTACCGCTCGACGCCGGTGTGGCGTCCTTATCCACACGGCGTCTCCAGATGGCGAATCGCGTCAGGCCGCCCCATCAATCCTGAACGCAAACCCCGTGAAGCTCGCGCTTCCACGCCCTTCAACCCCTCCCCCCATTCACCCCCCCCCCCCCCCCCCCCCCCCATGGCACGCGACCCCGGCCACCAGACGCCCGTCACAACAAACGTCCCCCCAACCTCACACTTCTCACCGCGCCCACCCGCTCCCTCCCACCCCACCCCCCTATTGTGCATCTTATCAAAGCTCCCATCCCCCTAAATCGGAGCAATCTCCCCGCCCTCTCCTCCTCCTCCTCCTCGTCACTCCCCTCTTCTTCCCCGCTCATCCCTCTCCACCCACGCGCCGTCGTCGCGTTTCATCCGCCAACTCGCCAAGATCGAGCCGCCACACCCCGTGGGCACAGCGCGGGCAGCAGCGTGCAGCAGCGTGCAGCAGCGTGCGGCAGTGTGCAGCAGCGTGGCATCGTGCAGCATCGTGCAGCAGCGTGCAGCAGAGTGCAGCAGCGTGCAGCAGTGTGCAGCAGCGTGCAGCAGCGTGCGGCAGCGTGCAGCAGCGTGCAGCAGAGTGCAGCAGAGTGCAGCAGCGTGGCAGTGTGCAGCGGTGTGCAGCAGCGTGGCAGTGTGCAGCAGCGTGCAGCAGCGTGGCAGTGTGCAGCAGCGTGCAGCAGCGTGCCGGGTCACCAAACCCGCACGCTCCGTCGCGTCTCGTGCGCGTTGTGTGCCACCGCGGCGTGTTTCATCATCGCTACCCACGGTCTCTTTCCACTGCTGGATGAAGGCCCTCCCCGTGCGGACGCCCACCTGGCACGGTCCGCGGGGTGTGCGTGTGCTCGTGCGGTGTGTACTGTGCGCGCACGTGGCGCTGTGTGTGTGCGTGTGTGCGCGTGTAATGGGTGGCGTGTGCGGTGGTGTGGTGTGTGACATGTGGGGAGGGGTGGCACAGTGGGTTCGATTACCGGTGTCGGCCTCCCAACTCCAGTGACGATTAAATTCACCGTTCCTGGGCCTACCCGAAGGTTGACTCGGCCTCAAATGAGTCACCTGGTGCGGTGTGTAAACATCGTCACTGGGGGAGACAAAGGCGGCCGGGCGTGGTCCTGGCCACCCACCCCCCTCGCGTGCCGCGCCGGCCTTCGTAGTTGCTCGCGAACAGCGCTTGCCCCAACAGTCTGTTAAAGACTACTCGGGGGGATCGTCGTCCTTGTCTGTGTGTAACCGTGCGGCGTGTGTGCTGGCTCAGGTGTGGGACATTGAGTCGAAGGAGCAGGTGCGCACGTTGACGGGGCACGTGGGCACTGTGTACGCCCTCGCCGTCATCTCCACGCCCGACCAGACCAAAGTGTTCAGCGCCTCCTACGACCGCTCACTCCGGGTGACCACCGCTCGCACCGCACGCACCGCACGCACCGCACGCACCGCACGCACCGCTCAACTCGCCGCGCGCCCCACCGCACACACCGAGCGCTGTACACTGCACGCCACTCGCTGCGTGCTGAAAAGGTGTGCACCACACGCTGCACTACGCATGTAAAAACACCGCACGCTGCACTACGCATGTAAAAACACCGCACGCTGCACTACGCATGTAAAAACACCGCACGCTGCACTACGCAAGTAAAAACACGGCACGCTGCACTACGCATGTAAAAACACCGCACGCTGCACTACGCATGTAAAAACACCGCACGCTGCACTACGCAAGTAAAAACACGGCACGCTGCACTACGCATGTAAAAACACCGCACGCTGCACTACGCATGTAAAAACACCGCACGCTGCACTACGCATGTAAAAACACCGCACGCTGCACTACGCATGTAAAAACACCGCACGCTGCACTACGCATGTAAAAACACCGCACGCTGCACTACGCGTGTAAAAACACCGCACGCTGCACTACGCATGTAAAAACACCGCACACTGCACTACGCATGTAAAAACACCGCACGCTGCACTACGCATGTAAAAACACCGCACGCTGCACTACGCATGTAAAAACACTGCACACTGCACTACGCATGTAAAAACACTGCACACTGCACTGCGCATGTAAAAACACGGCACGCTGCACTACGCATGTAAAAAAACTGCACACTGCACTACGCATGTAAAAACACCACACGCTGCACTACGCATGTAAAAACACCGCACGCTGCACTACGCATGTAAAAACACCGCACGCTGCACTACGCATGTAAAAACACCGCACGCTGCACTACGCATGTAAAAACACCGCACGCTGCACTACGCATGTAAAAACACTGCACGCTGCACTACGCATGTAAAAACACCACACACTACGCATGTAAAAACACCGCACACTGCACCACGCATGTAAAAACACCGCACGCTGCACTACGCATGTAAAAACACCGCACGCTGCACTACGCATGTAAAAACACCGCACGCTGCACTACGCATGTAAAAACACCGCACGCTGCACTACGCATGTAAAAACACCGCACGCTGCACTACGCAAGTAAAAACACGGCACGCTGCACTACGCATGTAAAAACACCGCACGCTGCACTACGCATGTAAAAACACCGCACGCTGCACTACGCAAGTAAAAACACGGCACGCTGCACTACGCATGTAAAAACACCGCACGCTGCACTACGCATGTAAAAACACCGCACGCTGCACTACGCATGTAAAAACACCGCACGCTGCACTACGCATGTAAAAACACCGCACGCTGCACTACGCATGTAAAAACACCGCACGCTGCACTACGCGTGTAAAAACACCGCACGCTGCACTACGCATGTAAAAACACCGCACACTGCACTACGCATGTAAAAACACCGCACGCTGCACTACGCATGTAAAAACACCGCACGCTGCACTACGCATGTAAAAACACTGCACACTGCACTACGCATGTAAAAACACTGCACACTGCACTGCGCATGTAAAAACACGGCACGCTGCACTACGCATGTAAAAAAACTGCACACTGCACTACGCATGTAAAAACACCACACGCTGCACTACGCATGTAAAAACACCGCACGCTGCACTACGCATGTAAAAACACCGCACGCTGCACTACGCATGTAAAAACACCGCACGCTGCACTACGCATGTAAAAACACCGCACGCTGCACTACGCATGTAAAAACACTGCACGCTGCACTACGCATGTAAAAACACCACACACTACGCATGTAAAAACACCGCACACTGCACCACGCATGTAAAAACACCGCACGCTGCACTACGCATGTAAAAACACCGCACACTGCACTACGCATGTAAAAACACCGCACGCTGCACTACGCATGTAAAAACACCGCACGCTGCACTACGCATGTAAAAACACCGCACGCTGCACTACGCATGTAAAAACACCGCACGCTGCACTACGCATGTAAAAACACCGCACGCTGCACTACGCATGTAAAAGCACCGCACGCTGCACTACGCATGTAAAAACACCGCACGCTGCACTACGCATGTAAAAACACCGCACGCTGCACTACGCATGTAAAAACACCGCACGCTGCACTACGCATGTAAAAACACCGCACGCTGCACTACGCATGTAAAAACACCGCACGCTGCACTACGCATGTAAAAACACCGCACACTGCACTACGCATGTAAAAACACCGCACGCTGCACTACGCATGTAAAAACACTGCACACTGCACTACGCATGTAAAAACACCGCACGCTGCACTACGCATGTAAAAACACCGCACGCTGCACTACGCATGTAAAAACACCGCACGCTGCACTACGCATGTAAAAACACCGCACGCTGCACTACGCATGTAAAAACACCGCACGCTGCACTATGCATGTAAAAACACCGCACGCTGCACTATGCATGTAAAAACACCGCACGCTGCACCACGCATGTAAAAACACCGCACGCTGCACTACGCATGTAAAAACACCGCACGCTGCACTACGCATGTAAAAACACCGCACGCTGCACTACGCATGTAAAAACACCGCACGCTGCACTACGCATGTAAAAACACCGCACACTGCACTACGCATGTAAAAACACCGCACGCTGCACCACGCACTTCAGACACCGCAAGCCGTGCGCTGCACGCTGCACGCTACACGCCGCAGGCTTTTGAACTCGCGAGTTACTTTCGCGTGTGTGTGCGCGTGTGCGCGCATGGCGTGCCCGTGCACGTGCGCGTGACGTGCGCGTGATGACACGTGGCAGGTGTGGAGCATGGACAACATGATCTGCACGCAGACGCTCCTGCGCCACCAGGGCAGCGTGACGGCGCTCGCCGTCTCGCGCGGGCGCCTCTTCTCGGGCGCCGTCGACAGCACCGTCAAGGTTCGGCTCCCGCTCGAAGCCGCGCGCCGCTCTCTGATCCCGTCGCTCTCTCATCCCGTCGCTCTCTCATCCCGTCGCTCTCTCATCGCGCCGCTCTCTCATCCCGCCGCTCTCTCATCCCGCCGCTCTCTCATCCCGTCGCTCTCTCATCCCGTCGCTCTCTCATCCCGTCGCTCTCTCATCCCGCCGCTCTCTCATCCCGTCGCTCTCTCATCCCGTCGCTCTCTCATCCCGTCGCTCTCTCATCCCGTCGCTCTCTCATCCCGCCGCTCTCTCATCCCGTCGCTCTCTCATCCCGTCGCTCTCTCATCCCGTCGCTCTCTCATCCCGCCGCTCTCTCATCCCGTCGCTCTCTCATCCCGCCGCTCTCTCATCACGTCGCTCTCTCATCCCGTCGCTCTCTCATCCCGTCGCTCTCTCATCCCGCCGCTCTCTCATCCCGTCGCTCTCTCATCCCGCCGCTCTCTCATCGCGCCGCTCTCTCATCCCGTCGCTCTCTCATCCCGTCGCTCTCTCATCCCGTCGCTCTCTCATCCCGTCGCTCTCTCATCCCGTCGCTCTCTCATCCCGTCGCTCTCTCATCCCGTCGCTCTCTCATCCCGTCGCTCTCTCATCCCGCCGCTCTCTCATCACGTCGCTCTCTCATCCCGTCGCTCTCTCATCCCGCCGCTCTCTCATCACGTCGCTCTCTCATCCCGCCGCTCTCTCATCCCGCCGCTCTCTCATCCCGTCGCTCTCTCATCCCGCCGCTCTCTCATCCCGCCGCTCTCTCATCCCGTCGCTCTCTCATCCCGTCGCTCTCTCATCCCGCCGCTCTCTCATCCCGCCGCTCTCTCATCCCGCCGCTCTCTCATCCCGCCGCTCTCTCATCCCGCCGCTCTCTCATCCCGTCGCCCTCTCAATAGTTAGTGAGGCTTCGCGAACTGCACCTCCCCCGCTCGGCTTGAGCGGGGGAGGTGCGGGGTGAAGGATTAGTTTTATCTTTTATTTTATTTTTCCAGGTAAGGCCCACTGAGCTGTATAGCTCTTTTTCAGAAGTGACCTGGCTGTCACAAGTGATAGCTCAACGAAGTGGCTGATCACATACTCTGAAACACATGTTGATTCGGACAAAAATGTACGTGAGCACAGGGAGAACATGGAAACTCCAAATATGCACACGTCAGGGTCGGGTTCGAACCCACGACCTCCTGTGTACCAGGCGAGGGAGTTAACATCTTGAGAGTTTTGCTGAGGTTGAGGGATTAAGTCGAGTGCTAGAGTCAGCATGGGGCGTGTTAGGGTGAGGATCTGGATCAAGGCTACCTTCCACTCTCCGCCTAACAGAATCAGCAACTTTATTTATCCTGATTAAATCCGACGAGCTACGAAGCTCTTTTTCACGCTACCCCTCTCTCTCTTTCTCCCCCTCTATCCGTGCTTTCCTGATGCAGGTTTGGACATCGTAACTGCTCCATCGCGCAGAGCACCGGATCCACGGCGGGCACCACCACGCCTCCGCTCACCGGCCCCCCCACCTCCCTGCAACTCGCGTTAAACCCTTGGGGGGTGGGGGGGGGCCCTTGCCCCCCGCCCCCCCCCTCCTCACATGAAACGCGCCCGTCCCCAGCACGGCGACGGGACCACCGCCCTGCGGGGCCGACGCGTCCGGCACCGGTGACTTTCACCGACCGACGGTGGCGCTCCGAGCTCGGAGACGCACGCAAAGCCAGCGCTGGGGCCCGGCGGCGTGGGCGATCGCTGGCGAGTGGATTGTGGGGTGGTGGTGGTGGTGGCGGGGGGGGAGTGGCACAGGGGCAGGGGAACGGAGCCTGCTTCCCCCCCGGCTCCTGCCGAGGAAGAAACCACGGCGGGGTGGACGACAGCTGCAGAGGCAGCGGGCGGACGCGCACGGTGTGAATCGTGGCGCGGTATCGCGCGCCGGCGCCGTGATGACACGGCGATCTTTGTGACGCTGGGAGCAGCGCCGGTGCGACGACGGCAGCGGCTGCTCGTGCCGTTAGCAAGGGGTCGCTCGCCGCCGTGACCTCGGCTGGGGGGTGTGTCGCAATCTCTCGCCACTGCACAGCGCCACGGCCGAGGTTCAACGCGGCGGTTCACTCTGCGGTAGTGGTGGTGGTGGTGGGAGAAACGGTTTGTGTACACATGTACAGTTAGCGGTTGTATAACAACAACAACAACAGCCGCCATTCGCCACTAAGTGGCGGCGACGTCACCACGGTGCCTGTGCCAGGCCAGGTGCACTGAGGCCGTCGCATGAAGTGTCGAAGGCTCGCTGCTGCCAGGAGGTCACGGGACAGACCCAGGTGCCATGGGTTGACTGACTGAGACGACTGACAGATGCACCAGCTGTGCACCACGTAGAGGGGACAGTTAGTGGTTGTATATATATACATACACACCCATACTCTCTAGAGACTTGCTGGCTGACGTTTGCCAACAGTACAACTGTAGAGAGTATATATATGCGCGTGTGAAATTGAAAACTGTACGATAGTTTTGAAATACGCTTAGCGCCTGTGCTGTGCTGCGATTGACCAATCATTAATCGCCGGGATTATGCGGAGAAGGAAGCGATGCAAATTGTACAGAGTTGACGTCGCTGACTTTTGTAACTTGAAGGTGACTTGCCACAACACCGTGGCTTAATCGGTCGCATTTTAAAATGTATGTCACGCTGCTGTTAACACAACCTAGATGCTGAGATGCGTCGCCATCCGTTTTTTAACAGACACCTCGTTCACGCGCGGTTCAGAATGAATCGCCTCCTGTTGTACGTATATTGTGCTTCTTTCGCACCCACACGTCGCGAACCGTGCTCATCGGAGGTTACGGGGAAAGAACAACAAACTAAACATAAAAAAAACTGTAAAAAAAATGAGTTTTCAATCTAGATTTCAAAGTGCATAGTTCCAGACGTCCACAGCAAGCACGTGATGCAGTCACCGTCTTTGATCAATGGCGAGGCAAAAGCCGCCGCGCGGTTGACCGGAGTTCGTGTGAGGGTTTATGCTGCTTGACGAGATCAGCAAGGTATTGTGATTAATTTGTGGCAAGCACTTGAGTGCGACCTTAGAATGTATTCGTTCAGCAATGTAATGAGTTGTGGGGGTGGGGGGGGGGGGGGGGGGGTGGAGTGTGGTGGGAGGGGGGCAAGGGATTGGGGTTCCAGTTTGGAGGAGGTTGGGGAAAATGCGGGAGAGAAGATGGACGTGAGGGGGGGGGGGCGGTGGAGAATTGAGTGTCTGAGGTAGGAGGTGTAGCCTGGGTGGGAGAGGAGGTGGAGGCTCATTGAAGATGTGGACGGGGTGGAGGAGGGCACGGCGGAGTCTCGGCCAGCTCCTCAATCGCCACGTGCCGGCACTTTACAGGCGGCTGGGGGTCACGGTAACCGCCGTAGGCACCGCGGCTCCCTCAGGGAGCGCGGCAGCTTGGCGAGATTCCACCGAGAGAAGCCATCGAGACTCGGCCCAGCCCTTCGGACGCGCTTCGCGTACGGGGCCAGATTCAGTGGCTATCCAGCGTGCAGGCCGTGCAGCTGCACAGAGGCCTGTGGGTCGGACCAGATGAGGCCTCGAGTTATGAAGACGGGAAGGCAGAGATTAGACATCTGGGAAGGGAGTTGGTGAGCCCCGGGGGTAGGGTGGTGGGAGGGGGGGGGGGGTCAGGGGGTCAGGGGGTGTGGGTTGAGTGATTGGGGGTCCATCCGCACCTATTAGCACGGTTGGCTACGTATGGTGTGAAAAAAGTTCAACATGCATTTCATTCCTAGCATCAGGGCCCATGCCAACTGCGCAATGCCACTGTTCGTATTTGTGTGTCGTCCGACACGGTTTAAGCCAAAGCTCCGTGGGACAAGTAGCAACCACTTTGGCAACTTTTCCGCCAAAATCCTGGCGAGAAACTGCCGATTTCCCCCACTGCGAGGATTGTGTGCGGGGAGATTTTGGAAGCGGCTGAGCGGCGGCGGCGCCGCGCACGCAGCTCCGACGAGCACAGCGCCGCGACCCGCGCGCGGCAGCCTCAATAAAGTCGCCGTGCGCACACCGCGATGCGTCCGTCTCGTGCGTGTGCTGCGCGTCGGCCTCACCACCGTCGCCCTCCGCGGTCCTTCAAGCCGGTGCCAATTCGCGGAAAGTCAACGGTCGCTCGCTTGTACGCACGGTGAGATTTTTTTCGCACCGTACGCGGCAGCCAACCGTGCTCATCGGAGGTGCGGTCGAAGGACGGCACAGGAAAAGCAGTTCTGAATAAATGAGTTCTCAGCGTTGCGCTTTGGAGAAAACCCATTCCTGATGTAGGAATGTGTTTGTTGCCAAGCGCCGGCTTGGGGCCACCAAGGGAGGCGAATGTCCTCGGGAGAAGCTGGGAGACTCTGGAGGGGGCAATGAGAGATAAACCACTGCCAAGTGTATGCGACTGGTTGATCGGGCTGGCATAGAGGAGGAACGTTGCACAAAGGGAGATGTATGCGTGTACGTTGAACTTCCTTCGCACCGTACGTCGCCAACCGTGCTAATCGAAGGTGCGGCAGGGGGAAGGACAAACTAAAAAAACTTCAATCAAGATGATTAAAAGGTGCATATAGCTCCAGTGACTTCATAATGTCGGACATCTTGAGTCTATGGGCAGTATTGAGTCTATGGGTAATGTTAGTCCGAGGGACCCATCCCCGTAGATTCCCATTTAGACCCACACTCGTAGAGACCCATACTCATAGAAACCCACATAGGCGTGAATGTTCAATCTCCGTCGCCACGCACGCAGCCAGAGGGCCATCGATTGTGCTGCACTGCCCCCTGCCGACAACAAATTGGAACTAATCCACTGTCAATCGAGTAAAAAAACACTCAAGGTTTGAGTTGCCACCTGTCCAGCCTTTGACGCGGACATCCTGGGAATTCGCAGCACACCTGAGTTCGGGTGGCTCGAATCCATTACTGCCGAGAAGTTTATTGCCGCACTACTTGTACTGCTGGATGCTTTAATATGGCTAGGCCAGGCGTCGGCAACCGAAATAACAAGAAGAGCCATTTCGAATTTGGTAAAAAAAAAACACCACCCTTCAATATTTCAAGAGCCGCAATGCCACGTGAATAACGTCACGAATCCGTCCTTAAAACGCCGCATTCGGCCCCGGAGTCCCAGGTGGCCGACCCCTGGGGCTGGACGGAGCGAGAAATATGTCCGGGTTTGAACTCAAATTATAACACTAAACTATTTATTTTACCAGGTAAGGCCCACTGAGCTTTTTATATATAGCTCTTTCAGAAGCAACCTGGCCGCAAATGATCGTCCAATTAAGTGGCTTATGTGGAAATGTATCGCAGCCAAATACTCTTAAGCGCATGTGTCTAAATGTGGATGGAAAAACCGGAGGATAGGGAGACAAATCCACTCCATCACGGGGAGAGAGACGTGCGAACTCGAAATATACAACAGGCGTCAGGGGTCGGGATCGAACCCACGAGCCTCCTGTATACCAGGCGAGGTAGTTAACATCCCCTAGCCACCGTGATGATGATGATGATGACAGAGAGAGACACGCAAACTCCACATACAGCAGCAGGTGGCAGTGTCGGGATCGAACCCACGAGCCTCCTGTATACCAGGCGAGGTAGTTAACATCCCCTAGCCACCGTGATGATGATGATGACAGAGAGAGACACGCAAACTCCACATACAGCAGCAGGTGTCAGTGTCGGGATCGAACCCACGAGCCTCCTGTATACCAGGCGAGGCAGTTAACGTCTCCTAGCCACCGCGGCGCCCAAATGGAAAAAGGTGACAACCGGCCTCGTGTTTCCCCACTGCTCACTGAGAAGTGGAGCTCCACCGCCACGTGTTTACGCCCTTTGGATCTTTGGATGGTCCCCGTCTTGCAACGAATCGCATCGGCTCGGTGACAATCTGCTGGGTTAACAAAAAATAGAACTTTTGAATCAACAATAAAGCATGCGTTCCTTTCCACCCCGTGAAACAACGCCATTCGTTCTCGGGGGGGAAAGGAAAGGACGTTCCACGCATACGCATGGCGTTGGCAGGGCGCCCGCGGTGGCGAGATGTTAACTACCTCGCCTGGTATACACGAGGTTTGTGGGTTCGATTCTCGACCCTGATGCCTGCTGCTATATATTTGGAGTTCGCGTGTTCTCTGTCTCTCCGTGTTCGCGTGGATTTTTTTTTTCTCCGGGGGCCTCCGGTTTTTAGAATCAACATCAAGCGTTTGGATGATTTGGCCGCTATGCATTTCCACGTGGTGATAAGCCACTTAATTGGGCCATTATTTGTGACCAGGTGGGAGAAGAAAAAAAACCACAGCACAGTGGGCCTCACCTGGTAAAATAAAATAAAATAGTTTCTAGGTTTATTTTACATTTATTTTAAAACTTCCCAACACGCGTTTGTTCTCGTTAAATATTCAATGAACAGTACTGAAGACGATGAGCAGCTGTCGGGTTTAAAAAGGCGATTGCGTCTCCCTGCTTCGATTAACCAACCAACCCACCCATCCACCCATCCATCCATCCACCAACCCACCCACCCATCCACCCACCCATCCACCCACCAACCCACCCATCCACCCACCCATCCACCCACCCTTACACCCACCCACCCATCCACCCACCCATCCACCCATCCACCCATCCACCCACCCACCCATCCACCCATCCACCCACCCATCCACCCATCCACCCACCCATCCACCCACCCACCGACAACAAACCGGGAAAGTTGTGAGCCAACGTTGGTGTGCAAGGTACTCAACCAACCTACCAAGGTCGGGGCCCAACGTTGTGGCACGTTCACGGGGGGTTTGGCCAGTTTTTGTTGTTGTTCAGGTATAGACCACAATTAGCACAACTTTAATTTAAACAAAGTTTTGTCGCTTCACCTTTGGGGCCGTTTATAAATGACGTCACGCACCTGTTGGGGGGGGGGGGTCAGATATTTGTGACGATATGTGACGGGAAGGGGGGGCTGAGTAATGTGACGTCACATCAAAATTCGCAACTCTAAATAAATATAGACAACACGTTCTACTTAATTAGACTTTTGTAATACATTGTTTCTCCTACAACATCAGAGTGCAGCGGCACATTAAATAAGCACTACAATGACAATAGTTTAAAGCGATTTGAAGCATGTTTTATTAGGGGGGGGCAGAGCTTTGTGACGTCATATTTGAGGGGGGGGGGGTCTGACTTTTTGTGACGCCGTGTGCCGAAGGGGGGGGGGGGGGTCAAAAATCGTCCAAAATCGCGTGACGTCATTTATGGACGGCCCCTTTACGAGAGATATCGAGACTTCATGTCACAGACGGTGATTGTTACAAAAAAGTTGGAAATTACGTCATTTGATTGTAATGTGACGGCCCGTAACGCGTTTAACAGCCTCGTGAAATAAATACACATTCGTCGGCACACGAAGAAGGGTCGTTTGCCCAAAACGTTAAGTATGTTGAGTGTTTTTGTTGTTGTTGTTACTTGTGCTTCTGCGCCACTGCCAACGTAGCTTTAGCATAATCGAATCGTCTGACTTCAAATCCCGTGACGTCATCGGAAGATTTGGTGACATCACCAGAGAGAGTCGTGTCAATGCGCGCGGTGACGTCATCGCTGCACCGCTGCTTTTCTCATGGCTATGATGTCACCTTAATAGTGCCATGTCATTGCGACGAAACGTGAGGCGATTGTTTAGCAACACATTTGCGGTGTAACTGCCATTGCCCCGTGACACGAAACGTCTAAAAATACAGTTGCGCATAATTTTAAAAGCGTGAAAAAGTTCACGGATATTTTTTTTTTTAAAATTCCACTTTAACCAACAACAACAAAAACAACAAATCACGTTGGTCAACAACACAGCGGTCAATAGGCGACGTTTCGTGCAACGGCCCTTGTTCGTAGCCCACTGTAACCACTTGTTTACACAGCCGCGACGTGACGTCACCGCGAGAGTGCCATGTCACGCGTGGGGACGTGACGTCCACCGCTCGGGTGGCGGGAGATCTGACGTCACTTCCGACAGTCGCGCGGCCGCTTCTGGGTTCCCTCAGCTGCCGGCACGGAGCGGTGACAGCCGCAGCGCGGCGGGCGGAGAGAGACAGAGAGAGAGAGACAAAGACGGACGCGGAAGACAACGTTGTGGACGACACGGGGAGGAGGAGGAGGGGGAGGTGGTGGTGGTGGGGGGGGATAGAGCAGAAAGCCGACGCGGCCATGCGCGAGTCCTGAGGAGACGTCACGTGCGCTACCCACAATCCCCCCCCGCCGCTGCGTGATGGCGGCTACGCACGGTGAGTGAGGGGTCGGGGAACCAGCACCTGGTCCCCGTGGTCCCCGGGGTTCCCCGGGGCACCCTGGTCGCAGGGCCCCAGGTTTCCCCATGCCCCCCGGCCCCCCGTCCCCCCCCCCCGGTTTCTGGTTGCTTGGTTCTATGTCTTAGGGATCTGGGATCACCATCTGGTCACGGGTCTCGGTTCTGGTTGCCGGGGTTGTCCCCCAGAGGGGATCTCCGCTGGGCGCGCTGTTACGGGGTCGAGTTCCTCCCCGACGCCGCCGGCCACAGGGCCCCGTGCCCTGGGCTCCCTCGGGTCTCGTCACAAGTTTCGTGGTTTCTCTCGCTCGTCGACCTGCTTCTGCGCCTTTGGTGACCACCGTTGACTTAACGGCGGTGTGGGGGGACCACCTTCCCCCCCCCCCCTGCCCCCCTTCTTATCGAGGTTCTGGGGTTCGTGGAGTCGTTTTGAGTCTTAATCGATTCGGCCCCCCCCCCCCCCACCGGGTTTTTTGGGTGGTGGCCGCATTTGTTCCTGCGCCTTGGTTCTATCCCCGGTTGTTCCGACGTCCGATCCCGTGGTACGCGTTGCTTGGTCTCTGCTTGGCTTGCCTGGTTCTCTCCCCCACCCACCCCGACTCCGGTGCTGAGTGGGACTGGGTTCGTCGTGGCCTTCGCCAGCAGGGGGGGCGGGTGGTCGCGATGTCACCTTGGTCCCGTTTTAAAACGTTGTTTACTCCGCTCGCCGCGATGTGGCGATATTTACTGCGATATCAGTTGTCGCGCCGCGATGTAAGGTTCACGATAATCGTCCCTCCGAAACATCTGAACGTCGTGGGTTAGCGTTGCGCGTTTGTATCTGAAATGTGTGTTGCGCTGACGTGTTTTTTTTTGTTGCGGAATTAACGAACGCGATTAGAAACTTTTTTTTTCGTTTTGTTTTAAAGAAACCCCAAGTGTTCTAATTACTTCTCTGCAAACTCGTTTCCACGAGGGATGGACTGCTTTGGCGGTACTTATCGGTTTGGAATGATTTAAATGCTGCGTTCGTGTGTTCTCCGTGTTTAAGAAGACCCTTAAACGGGCCCGTGGGTTTGGAGGACGGGCCCGGCCGGACCTGTGCCGAGTGAGTGAATTGCAGTTTGAGGTTGCGCTGCGTTCGAGGCAATCTTCATGCGCAACAGAAGAGCAATCGCGCGCGGTGCAAACAACAAAAACAAAAACGCCGTTCCAGCCGAATTGCGAAACCGTTGGCAATGGGATCGCGCTGAAATCGTCATAAAGCGAATTTGGATATCGGCTTGTATGAAAATTGGCTAGTCATGGGGGGAGGCGGCACTCTCGAGGGTGAGTGAGATCTGGGGCCCTGGAAGACGGAGGAGGGGGGGGTGGGGGTCATTGAGGGGGTCGCAATCCAGGAATCTCGGTGACCAAGAGGAGAGCAGGACCCAGGCGCTGTGCTGCTCATGTGTCAGGCTGCTTCCACTGCTTCCCCCAGTGATGGCCTCTTTCCCCCTTTCTCTACTCATCTCCGCTCGTCCCTCTGTGCACACTTTGTCCTCTTTACCCACTCTGCCCTCTCAGCACTCCCCTCCAACCTTATTCCCCCCTCCGCCCACACTTTCTCTCTCCAATCTCTACCACACTCAATCTCTCCACCCTTTCGTCTGACTCTTCTTTTTTTCTCGTCCCTTCTCTTTCTGCTATCTCTCACACATCGTTCCTCTCTCTCTGTCGCCCCAACCCGCTCTCTCCTCCCCGCGTTTCTTGCGGCCTCAAGACACAGAGGCCGACGCGCTGAGTGGCGACACAAACTCGTCGGAGGGGGAGGGCGGCCTCCGCGCCGAGGTCGGCGTGGCCGGCGAGGTCGTCGGTGAGGTCGTCGGCGAGGAGGTCACGGAGTCCGCGCCAGGAGAGGGCTCGCGGAACGCCGACGCGGAGACGCCCGCCGCCGTCAACGGGGTCACGGCGGAGGGAGGGGAGTGCGCGCCCGACCTGGTCGACATCAAAATCATTTACAACAAGGCCAAGTTCGATGTGTCCGTGTCTCTGGACAGCACGGGCGCCAACCTCAAGAACACGATCCACACTCTCACAGGTGTGAGACGCAGTGGAATACTGCTGGGGTAGTGCTCGAGCCAGGTTGACTTGGTGTGGATTTGGGTACGGGATGGTCGGCTACGGGGTAGTTGGTGTGGATAGTGGTAGGGGTAAGACGAGTGCTCGGGCCAGGATAGTTTGTGTGCTTAGGCATAGGAGCTGGGTGGTTCGTGTGAATATACGGAATTGGTAGTGGTTTGTTGGTTAAGGCTTAGGGAGAGTATAGGTAGGGTAGCGGGTAGTGTTTGGTGCTTTAACCCAGCACTGTGGAGGCGAGAGTTGGCGATATAAAAAAACACTTAGAATTATTATAGAGGTAGCGTTGAGGTATAATTTCTCTTCAAAATCACCCAAAGGTTCGCGGGCAGCGTCTTACTCTCCGATATTTTCTGGTGCGTCTTACGACCCAGAGGATGGCACTCGTTCGGTTACACACGTCCGTGCGTGCGCGCATTTGTCTCCAGGCGTCCCGCCGGCGATGCAGAAGGTGATGTTCAAGGGGCTGGTGCGGGAGGAGCGTACGCTGCGTGACATGAAGGTGACGAGTGGAGCCAAGTTCATGGTGGTCGGCTCGACGCTGACGGACGTCCTCGCCGTCAACGCGCCCAAGGAGGTGGTGGCGCAGGAGACGCGGGCCGACGAGCCCAAGAAGGAGCCGCTCTGCCGGCAGAAGGTGCCCTCCCCCGACCTCCCCTCCCCCAACCCCACTTCCACCTCCACCACCTTAGCCCGCAGCGTGTAGGAAATTCTCTGGCACCGTGTGTCGTGACGGGTGCTGCAAGGTCCGACCGTGTCCACGTCCAGTGCTTGCCGCGCTGCTTTGGCTCCCGGTTGTCGAACGGACACTTAATAAGGTCGCCCTCATTGCTGAACAGACACTTAATAAGGTCACGCTCATTGCTGAACGGATACTTAATAAGGTCACGCTCATTGCTGAATGGACACTTAATAAGGTCACGCTCATTGCTGAATGGACACTTAATAAGGTCACGCTCATTGCTGAACGGACACTTAATAAGGTCACGCTCATTGCTGAACGGATACTTAATAAGGTCACGCGCATTGCTGAACGGACACTTAATAAGGTCACGCTCATTGCTGAACGGACACTTAATAAGGTCACGCTCATTGCTGAACGGACACTTAATAAGGTCACGCTCATTGCTGAACGGACACTTAATAAGGTCACGCTCATTGCTGAACGGATACTTAATAAGGTCGCGCTCATTGCTGAACGGACACTTAATAAGGTCGCGCTCATTGCTGAACGGACACGTAATAAGGTCATGCTCATTGCTGAACGGATACTTAATAAGGTCACGCTCATTGCTGAACGGACACTTAATAAGGTCACGCTCATTGCTGAATGGATACTTAATAAGGTCACGCACATTGCCCAACGGATACTTAATAAGGTCACGCTCATTGCTGAACGGACACTTAATAAGGTCGCGCTCATTGTTGAACGGACACTTAATAAGGTCACGCTCATTGCTGAACGGACACTTAATAAGGTCACGCTCATTGCTGAACGGATACTTAATAAGGTCACGCTCATTGCTGAACGGACACTTAATAAGGTCACGCTCATTGCTGAACGGACACTTAATAAGGTCGCGCTCATTGCTGAACGGACACTTAATAAGGTCACGCTCATTGCTGAACGGATACTTAATAAGGTCACGCTCATTGCTGAACGGAAACTTAATAAGGTCACGCTCATTGCTGAACGGACACTTAATAAGGTCGCGCTCATTGCTGAACGGACACTTAATAAGGTCACGCTCATTGCTGAACGGATACTTAATAAGGTCACGCTCATTGCTGAACGGACACTTAATAAGGTCACGCTCATTGCTGAACGGATACTTAATAAGGTCACGCTCATTGCTGAACGGACACTTAATAAGGTCGCGCTCATTGCTGAACGGATACTTAATAAGGTCACGCTCATTGCTGAACGGACACTTAATAAGGTCACGCTCATTGCTGAATGGATACTTAATAAGGTCACGCACATTGCCCAACGGATACTTAATAAGGTCACGCTCATTGCTGAACGGACACTTAATAAGGTCGCGCTCATTGTTGAACGGACACTTAATAAGGTCACGCTCATTGCTGAACGGACACTTAACAAGGTCACGCTCATTGCTGAACGGATACTTAATAAGGTCACGCTCATTGCTGAACGGATACTTAATAAGGTCACGCTCATTGCTGAACGGACACTTAATAAGGTCACGCTCATTGCTGAACGGACACTTAATAAGGTCACGCTCATTGCTGAACGGACACTTAATAAGGTCACGCTCATTGCTGAACGGATACTTAATAAGGTCGCGCTCATTGCTGAACGGATACTTAATAAGGTCACGCTCATTGCACGCACAGTGCCTTCCACATATGAACCGCAGTACCTCGCTGATCTCGTCATGGAGCATCATAAACCGTCATCACGCGAACTCCGGTCATCCTCACAGCAGCGGCTTCTGGCTAGCCATCGAACAAAGATGGGTGACCGCATCGCGCTTTCGGATGCGCTTCGGTGGCCGTCTGGAACGTTCTTGCTTCCGATATTAGGAAGCCACTGGACCTATGCACTTTAAAGTCTAGATCGAAACCGAATTTCTTTAGAACTTCTTTTTGCGTTTCATTTGTCCTCTGCCCGCACCTGCGATTAGCACGGGTGGCTATGTATGGTGCGAAAGAAGTTCAGCATGCATATATACCACGACTACAACCGTCACCCAAGCTACAATCGCGTTGGGCAGCGTCTTCATTCCTATGAAGTTTAACCTCTGACTGCTCGGTGAGCACTGAGCCGCAGAGGTGCTAGAACCATGACCCGTGAGCAGCGAAGGTTTCAGCACTGAACAGTAGAGGTACTTGGAACCATTACTTGCCAATTTTTTGAGCCGTAAAAGTTTCGGAACCTTGAGCAACGAAAGCTCCGCAGCCATTAACGGCAGAACATTTAGAATTTGCAGATTTTAGAAAAAAATTATTTAGCCACTGGTCGCTGACGATTGGCAGCCGCTGAAAGGCTGAACTCCGAAACGTCTCTCGGGAATCCTTCATCGGCTGGTTTCCCGTTTGTTACCCTGACCCTCACCGCGTCACACTCCATTCCCCTCTTTGGGTGCTCTTCGGGTTGTGATCCTCGTCCCCACCCCCACCGCTTTGTCTTCACAGCAACACAGGAAAGTTCTGGACAAGGGCAAACCTGATGACATCATGCCGGCCATCAAGGGTACCATGGTGAGAACTCGCCTCAACCCTACCTGTCATGCTCTCCCCTCTCTTACTGACCCCCCCCCCCTCTTCTACTTTGGCCACTGCTCTGTCGCTCGCTACTTTCCCCTCTCTCTTCTCACGATTTCATTGCCCACTCCCCTCCTTCCCTGACTCTCATCTGAGAGTCGGACGGAAGATTGTGAAGGACAACAAATGCGCGGTTCACTTGGTCAGGTTAGCAAAAAAACCCACAGCGAGTCTCCGGTAATCGTTGTTCACGAGCCCCCCCCGCCCCCCCCCCCACCGACCGTATTATCGATGCCCGGCCAATTCTGTTGGCGAGCGTTTTTGGACTTTTGTCACGTCGGGGGACCTGGGTGTATCCCCGAGTAATCCCGCTTGCTTCAAGGGATAACGCTTCAAACTCTGCACAGATGGGCGCAAGAATACACGTGCGCCCACCCCTTCCCTGTTACTCATTGTTTTGAGCCAGGACACTGCCCCGACCCCTGGTGGTGATGCCAAACACTAGATGGCACGCTTTACCCCTTCCTCCCTCCTAATCACATTGCTAGCATTTGTTTCAGTGTCCCTGTGTTGTTATACCCCCGTATCTCCATGTCCCCCTGTCCCCGTGTCTTCACGATCCTGTGTCCCCGTGTCCTCGTGTCCTCGTGTCTTTGTGTCCCCGTGTCTTGGTGTCCCCGTGTCTTGGTGTCCCCGTGTCTTGGTGTCCCCGTGTCTTGGTGTCTTTGTGTCCCCGTGTCTTGGTGTCCCCGTGTCTTGGTTTCTTTGTGTCCCCGTGTCTTGGTGTCCCTGTGTCTTGGTGTCCCTGTGTCTTGGTGTCTTTGTGTCCCCGTGTCCCCATGTCTTTGTGTCCCTATGTCTTGGTGTCCCCGTGTCTTGGTATCTTTGTGTCCCCGTGTCTTGGTGTCCCCGTGTCTTGGTGTCCCTGTGTCTTGGTGTCCCCGTGTCTTGGTGTCTTGGTGTCCTCGTGTCTTTGTATCCCCGTGTCTTGGTGTCCCCGTGTTTTGGTATCCCCGTGTCTTCATGTCCATGTGTCTCCCTGTTTATATTTTCCTGTATCTTCGTGTCTCCGTGTCGCCATATCCTGGTGTCCCCCGTACCCTGGTGTGCCTGTGTCCCCGTGTCTCCGTTTCCCCGTGTCTTCACGTCCCAGTTTCTTTGTGTCCCTATGTCCTGGTATCCCCATGTCCCCAGTATTGTGTCCCCGTGCCTTCACCTCCCCGTCTCCTCGTGTCTCCTCGTGTCTCCTCGTGTCTCCTCGTGCAGGAGCGGCTGCCGTCCGTGCCGCTGTCCGGGATGTTTAACAAGTCCGGGGGGAAGGTGCGGCTCACGTTCAAGCTGGAGCAGGACCAGCTGTGGATCGGCACCAAAGGTAAAACTTTACAAAACGATAACACAGTTTTAGTTGTTTTTTTATTTCACCAGGTAAGGGCCCACTGAGCAATGTAGCTCTTTTTCAAAAGCGACCTGGCCAAAAATGATAGCTCAACGAAGTGGCTTATCAGGTCGAAATGTATTGCAGCCAAGTACTCTAAAAGCGTGTGGATTTATACGTGGAGGGAAAAACCGGAGGACACGGAGAAAAATACACGCCACCGTCGTGAGACAGACGCGCAAACTCCAAATATGCGGGCGTCAGGGTCGGGATCGAACCCATGACCTCCTTCATACCAGGCGAAGTAGTCACTGCGGTGCCCCAAAGATGCTCGCCGGGCAGGGGGGGGGTTGGGGCAGCTCAATGAGGGGAGGGTGAGGGGAAGGGGGCAGCTCATGGGGGTGGGAGGGGGGAGGTGAGATGTGGGTGAGCTCTCTGTAGAGCTGGGTGAGTTGTGGGTGAGCTGTAGAGGCGTGTCGCAGCGTGTCGCAGCGTGTCATGGTGTGTCATGGTGTGTCATGGTGTGTCATGGCAGTGTCATGGCAGTGTCACGGGCGTGTCTCGGCGTATCACGGCAGCCGGGTGACAGGAAGCTTCGCACAGAAGAAGACGGGTCGTGGCACGGATGTCCCCACAGACGTGACACCGTGACACTGCCATGACATGCCGTGACATGCTGCAAGACCCCGTGATGCACCGTTTGACCCAGTGGCACGCTGCCACACTCCATAACACCCCGTGACACCCCATAACACCCCGTGACACATCCTGACACATCCTGACACACCTTGACACATCCTGACACACCTTGACACAGCGTCACATCGGGTCTGTCCGCACCACGCCGGCCTGCGCGACGCCGCGTGTCGGTCCGTGCGTGCAACCCTAATTAGCGCACGCAGCTGACAGCGCTGCCTGCTGCTCTCTGATAATTGGCCTCGGGCACCTCAACGCCCCTCGCGGCTGCCATGGCGACTGACTGGCCGCCCCGGTAACCTTTTGTTTTCGCTGACGGAGCGATCGCCTTTCTGGCCTCTTGGCTCGCGGCGGCCGTGGGGAGAAGGAGGCCGCGCCCCTCCCGCTGCCGTGACTGTTCTCCGTTTGGCTCTGGCCGAGCTCAATCGGGAGAGGGGGAATGCGTCGTTAGAAGTGGCCGGCATTGCAGTCGTCGGCTCTTCGCTCCGAGGGGAGCTTGGTGCGTCACGAACCCGTCCGGTGGCCACCGATCCGTCATCTTCTGCACCGAGCTTCCCGTTCCCACGGCTGCTCGTCCCGCTCGTTCCGCTCGTCCCGCTCGTTCCGCTCGTCCCGCTCGTTCCGCGTCTCTATCTGTGCGTGCCCTGTGCCCTCCTGGTCCCTGTGTGAGCCAACCGATGAATGTTTTTGCCCGGCTGGACACCGTGCGGTCCGCTGTGTGCCGCGTCCGCCAGTTTCTTCCGCCCCTTCCCCTGGCGTTCTAGTTCCCTGCCGTCCCGCTGCTGTTCCCTGGCCCTGTTGCTCGCCCCCCCCCCCCCCCCCCCCCAATGGGCCCCCTCCTGTTCCCCGTGTCTAACAGACTCCCCGCCTCGCCCCCCCCCCCCCCCTCCACGTGGTGTGGCCGCAGAGCGCACGGAGAAGCTGCCGATGGGATCGATCAAGAACGTCGTGAGCGAGCCGATCGAGGGCCACGAGGATTACCACATGATGGTGCGCAGCACGGCCACACCGCCCCCCCCCCCCCCCCCATATGCCGCGGGGGGTCACACCACACCAGACAGTGGGGTCACACTACGCAACCTTGCACCACTCCACCCCACAACACAGCGTCACGCCACACCACCTTGCACCACACTGCCAATCGGCTAGGAATCACACCGCGGGGTCTCACCACACCCTACACAGCACACTGTATAACGGGGTCGCACCACACCGTACAATGGGGTCACACCACACCGTACAATGGGGTCACACCACACCGTACAATGGGGTCACACCACACCGTACAATGGGGTCACACCACACCGTACAATGGGGTCACACCACACCGTACAATGGGGTCACACCACACCGTACAATGGGGTCACACCACACCACCGTGCCTGCAGCACGGGGTCTCGACGCGCAGGGTCACCTTTGCTGCTGTTGACTTGCATCGCAATGCGCGGGATGTCCGTGTGAAAGTTGGCCCCGACGTGCTTGCGGGCCCGTGCGTCAGTGTGGGTGACTGCGTGTGGCTGGTGACTGCGTGTGGGTGACTGCGTGTGGGTGACTGCGTGTGGGTGACTGCGTGTGGCTGGTGACTGCGTGTGGGTGACTGCGTGTGGCTGGTGACTGCGTGTGGCTGGTGACTGCGTGTGGCTGGTGACTGCGTGTGGGTGACTGCGTGTGGGTGACTGCATGTGGGTGACTGCGTGTGGCTGGTGACTGCGTGTGGGTGGTGACTGCGTGTGGGTGACTGCGTGTGGGTGACTGCGTGTGGGTGACTGCGTGTGGCTGGTGACTGCGTGTGGGTGACTGCGTGTGGGTGGTGACTGCGTGTGGGTGAGTGCGTGTGGGTGACTGCGTGTGGGTGGTGACTGCGTGTGGGTGACTGCGTGTGGGTGGTGACTGCGTGTGGGTGGTGACTGCGTGTGGGTGACTGCGTGTGGGTGGCTCCCGCGTGAGTGGCTCCCGCCTGGGTGCTTCCGGGCTGGGGGGCCTCTCTGACCTGTCCGGTGCCGCCCGTGTTGTGTCGATGGGGATGTCGCCGTTTGTCCCGTCAGGCCCTCCAGCTGGGCCCCACGGAGGCCTCCTACTACTGGGTCTACTGGGTGCCCGTGCAGTACGTTGACGCCATCAAAGACACCGTGCTGGGCAAGTGGCAGTTCTTCTGACCCCGCTCGACTGCTGCTCCTCCTCCGCCATCTCCTCCTCAACCACCTCGATCCTCTCCACCCACCGACGGACCGGACTACCCCCCCCCTGACCCCCCCCCCCCCCTACCAGTCTCAAGCCTTCAGCCCCTTCCGGCTGCCACCAAAAATGGACTTTTAACGCTGAACACCAGCTGGTGGGGGGAGGAGTGCCTCTGTTATATTTAATTTGTTGCGTTACTTTTTTATGATTTATTGTTTTGATGTTTGATATAGTATTTGCCGAGGTTATCGCCTATTAAGTTATCAAAATGATGAAACATTAATAAAAGGAAAGCATCACCATCTTTTTTGAAAGCAATATCTCGGTTGCTGCCGCACGCAGGCTGCCGCTGCCGGTTTTGATATACCGACGAACTCTGTGCACTAACGACGCCGACCACAGCGACCACGGCGACGGCTCCGACCACGACGATGATTACGATGACGACGACGACGACGACGACGACGATGCCCCTCAAGTGTTTTTGTGCCGCCGTTCGCGTTCCTACGAAGCCTCGCGTGGAGGGGCGACGCGGGGACCTCGGCACCCGGCCCGCCCGCCCGCCCGCCCGGCCCGCCCGGCCCGCCCGCTGACCTGGCTTGGCCACGCCTGCGGTTGACCAAGACGGGACGTGGCACGAACCGCGGGGGATGCCGCAGAACTCTGGGAGAGGCCCCCAGTTTTGGGGTCGGGGGGCGGCTGTTGAAGAAGCGATCGGGGTGGGGAAACCTCCCGCGGACGGATGCAGCCGCAACCGGGTGGGGCACCCCCAGCGGCAGCAGCAGCAGCGACAGACGTTTGTTGCTCGAGCGGTTCCTCCTCTCTGCCACTGGGCGATGAAGTTCAGCGTTTGCGTTTGTGGTTTTTTTCTCTCCCGGTGGTGACGACGAATAATAACAAATGAATAAATAAAAAAAGGAACTGGACAAGGAGAATCCGCGGCTCTGTTTGATTCGTAATGCTCACCGCAGCCGCTTCCTCCCGGACAGAGGTGACGGAACGAAGACGGACACTTCTGTTGTAGTGTTTATTTATTTATTTTGTGTTGCGGTGTTAAATTGACCTTTGATCCCCGGGCCCTTAACGTTGCTGCGGTGCTAAGCGGCGCAAGTCTGGTCGGTTCGCGCCCTCTGAAGAGACTCGCTGGTCTCGCCAGTGTCACCACTCCCATCTCACTGGTGTCGCCAGTTATCAGCACCCTCATCTCACCGATTTCACCATTGCCACCGCTCTCATTTCACCAGTGTCACCACTCTCATCTCACTGGTGACACCAGTGTTGCCACTGATGTCACCGGTCTCACCAATGTCACCAATCTTACCAATTTCGTCTCGCCAGTGTCACCACTCATCTCGCCAGTGTCGCCACTCTCACCAGTGTCACCAGTGTCGCCACTCTCACCAGTGTCACCAGTGTCGCCAGTGTCACCAGTGTCGCCACTCACCAGTGTCACCGGTCTCGCCAGTGTCACCAGTGTCGCCACTCACCAGTGTCACCGGTCTCGCCAGTCCGCGTTCTTTCGCTTTCGGATGCGCTTCTGCGGCCGTCGGTGAACGCTCTTCTGATTTTAGGAGTCCACAGGAGTTATGCACTTTTAAATCACCTTCATTGAAATTCGTTTATTTACAACTGCTTCCTGTGTTTAGTGTGTTGCCCTTCCCCCGCACCTCCGATGAGCACGGTTGGGTATGTACGGTACGAAAGAAGTCCAACGTACATAGGGCGGTGAAATTTGGGGACGGGAATACACGATAGACTCAAGCGGCTGTTTAAGATATTATCGCTGGTTTAAAGTTTGTTTCTCACCGACTCTTATTGATGCCCCTTACCCCCACGGCCTCCTCCACCCCCTGGGTAGGCCACCTTATACCCTACAGCAGTGGTCTTTCACCCTGGGGTGCGAGATGCCCTTTCTGGGGGTCCGAGACATGGCCAGATTTGTGTTAGTTGGTAAATCATCGAAAAAACTAATTAAACACGGGGCACACGAGCACAACTACTTTGTTTCATTAAACCGATGTATTTATTAACATCACTTTTTTTACGATTAATAACCGAAGGGGTGTGCAAGGCTGCACTAAAGGTTAAGAACCACACTGCCTTACAGGGTCGTTAACGTGCCCCTTCGTTACTGAACATTTGTGAAAAAGAGCTTAATAGCTCATCGCATTCCTCCAGCATAATTAAAGAGTCGTGATTTATAAGAAGAAACAAAAAGCTGCACTCCTATTTTCAACTTTAAATCAGCGTCACGACGTTTGGCAACCGAAATCCGACTTGGCCGTTGAGAGACATTCGCCATAGTCTGGCACGGGTGGTGTTGGTGATGGTGGTATCGGTGGCAGTGATGGCGGCAGTGAATGGCCATGGTGGTGAAAGAAGTTGATGGCGGTGGGGATGATGGTAGTTGGTAGTGATGGGGATGGTCGTGGTGATGGTTGTGGTGTGGGTGTTGGCGAAGAAGGTGGAGATTAAAATGGTGATGGTAGTTAGTGGTGATGATGGTAGTTAATGGTGATGCTGCTGATGATAATGTGGGTGTGGTAGTGTGGCGGTCAGCGCGCTGCTCTACGAACTCGGCGACCCGAGTTCGATTCCCGCTCACGGCCAACACCGTTGACGATTATTTGAACCGGTCCTGGGCCTCCCCTAGGTTGACTCAGCCTCAAATGAGTACCTGGTGCGGTGTAAAAACATCGCCACTGGGGGAGATAAAGGCGGCCGGGCGTGGTGTTGGCCACCCACCCCCTCGTGTGCCGTGCCGGCCTTCATAGGTGCTCGCTAACAGCACTTGCCCCAACAGTCTGTTACAGTCTATACGAAGAGATCTTTGTTTTGTTTTGGCGGCGGTGGTGGCTGAACAGTGAATGGGGATTAAAAGCGATTGGGCGAGAATCTCGCACTGATTATATTCTAATGATCGCGAGTTGGTTGCAGTGTGGAGCAGCGGTTGAGTGGATTGTATTGCCTGCGGAGAGGAGCCGAGCGAGAGCACTTCAGCAGGAGCCCTGGAAGCTTCAATCACTCACCGGGGTGAGTGTGGGTGTGAGAAGAGGGGATTCCGTCATTGGGCACAAGGCAAAGATCACCCGTACAGCCTGAACAGACTGTTGGGGCAAGTGCTGTTAGCGAGCAGCACCCTATGAAGCCCCACAATGGCACACCACGCCCGGCCGCCTTTGTCACCCCAGTGGCGATGTTTCGACACGCGACAACACCAAAGCCAAGGCAAGGTAATCTTGACTTAAAGCTTTCGTGACTGCAGGGATTCATATTCTTTGGGCCTTTCGGTAAAGTCACGTAGATAGGTGCAAAGAAATAAAAAACAAGACTACGACGTTTCGATCGCAACACAAGCGTTCGTCATCAGGAGGAGGGGGGTGGCCGAAGGTACACTGATAATAGGTTTTTCTGGCAACAAAAGAGCTGTGTTAAGATGTTAAAACACCAAACTGAAACCTTTTTACAAGGAATCATGTCTGCATTAACCACAATGCTTGTGGTCAGAATCCTAACAAAAACATTCTCTGATAATATATGCATTATCCTTGAAACTGATTGGTTTACACCAGAAACAGCTTTCTGTATGAGCTTCGTCTCAAACGGTGTTAGACCAGAGGACGCCAAAATGCGTAACATGTTCGCCACTGATTTTTGCCATGAGCAGGAATCGAACTTAGGTCGCGTCACCGCTCCCCACATTCACGCAAAGACATATCCCCCATATATCCTTGGCATACCGTACGGTTAAGTGCTGCTAGCGACAAAAACAAAGACAACGATCCCCCGAATATCCTTAACAAACTGTCGGAGCAAGTGCTGTTAGCGAGCAGCACCTATGAAGGCCGACACGGCACACCAGGGCGTGGGTCCCCAGCACCACGCCCGGCCGCCTTTGTCTCCCTGGTATCGATGTTTAATCCCCTCCCCCCCGCTAGAACCAGGCACTCATCTGAGGCTCAGTCGACGTAGGGGGAGGCCCAGGGCCAGTTCAGATAATCGTCACTGCTGTTGGTGGCCCCCGAGAGGGAATCGAACTCGGTTTCGCCGGGTTCGTAGCGCAGCTGCGTGGAGCCATCCGGGGCCGTACTCCGGAAAATAATTCCCCCAACCTGTCTCGTCTCCTCCATCTGTCGGAGGGCGGGGCGGGGGGTTTGTTGGGCTGCTTAAAACACTGAATGACAAATCTAAATCCCTGGCTATAACGACGACGATTGTTGATGAGGGTGAGTGCGGGGGACTTCGGCCTCCGTGAGGGATTCGCCGGCGAGCGCAGCACCGGCAGAGGGCAGCGGCACACCACGACAACCACCACCGCCACGACCACCGCCACCACCACGACCACCGCCACCACCACCACGACCGCCACCGCCACCACCACCACCGCCACCACCGCCACCACCACCGCCACCACCACCACCACCGCCACCACCGCCACCACCACCGCCCCCCTATCGCTCTCTAGCTGCCGGCTGCGACACCCACCACTGTTGCGATTCCGCCGCGAGCGATGTTATCCGTGTCTGGAGAGAAGTTGTTGTTGTTGTTGGGTTAGATCGCGTCGATGTGAATGCGTCGTAAAAAAAATGACAGGTCACCCACGCAATGTACTTGCATGCTATACATGCATAATGTATCAACAAAATATACATACATAATGAACATACGCAACGCACATACATAATGGGGCGTACGCAATTAGCATTCATAATGTACATACATAATGCACATGCATAACGTGTATCTACTATACGTAACATAATGAAAAATGTACATAGACAACGCACATACATAATGGGCATACACAATGTGTATGGATAATGCACATACATTATATATACATACATAATGCTTGGCTCACAAGTGACGACATTTATGCCCCAGTCTATTTAAAGCCGAAGCAGGAGGAGGAGGATTTCTCCACAATTCTGGCTGTCGCCGGATGATGCCGGTCGTGGTTGTTGTTGTTGTTGTAATTACCGGCGAAACGTCATTGTACTCGAATTGTAAATGTTGTAGTGGGTTTACTCTCCAACACACCGATGCGTGCTGAACTAAGTAACGAATTGGTCACGTTCTGTTTGCGTGACAAACCTCACTCATTGGCTGTGTCGGGTGGTGGCGGGATTTAACGACACATGTATATTTACACGATCATACCAAACACAAGCAACCTCTATTTTAGACAATGGGATCCCGCATACATATGCTTTTTTCCACTGTCCAACGGAGCCGTGCCGTGCCACTGACTTCACGTGCATTGTTGCGTCCGTGTAGCGGTTTGATCCAACTCATGACGAAGCCAGAATCGTACCCCCGCCCCTCCCAAACCCCCCACCCCCTCTTTTATTTTTTCCACTGACACATCCGAGCCGAGCGAGGAGAGTGAGTTGGAGGGGCGACTGAGATGAGAGGGGATAGGTAGTTGAGCGTCCGGAGGGGAGTAGCTTGTTGTGCGTGCGTTGAACTTCTTTCCCACCGTACGTAGCTAATCGGAGGTGGGTGAGAGGGGGGTGGAAGGAGGACAGCGGCACGAGGTTGGTGGAGGAGCCCGCGAGCAGGAGCCGACCGACTCCTCCCAGTCTCAAGACAGACGCTGATTCTGACTGCGCGACTCCCCCGTGGAGGAACCCCGCGCGGCGATTATTGCAGAAACAAGAGGGCGCGACTACAGGGGTGGAGGGGCGAGCGAGGTGGAGGATGGAGCGAGGTGGAGGATGGAGCGGGGTGGAGGTGCGAGCGAGGTGGAAGATGGAGCGAGGTGGAGGTGCGAGCGAGTCGCTATTTTTATCCCAGCTCTGACAGGGCGCAAAGCACCGCGCGGTTTTAAACGCCGCGCTCTGCCGGTGACAGCTTCCACTCCCCAGCGGCGCGAGAAAACAAAAGCCGCGATTCCAATCAAACACGGGGGGGGGGGGGGGGGGGGGGGGGGTAC